CGCTTTGTACGCGCGGCGAAGGATTCAAAAAGCAAAGCATGGCTTTGAAGTCGTCAAAATAGAGAGGAGCATACGGCGCTTCGTCGGGCAAAGAGGGCGCGGGCAGAAAGGTAGGCCTGAAATCAGCCTTTGCCGCTGCGTGGCGCCTCTTAGGGCTCGGCCTGTGTACAGCCACCCTCGTCACTTTAGCCCGTATGCTTTTGGGGCGCAAGCCATCGTGGGATCGAACTTCAGTTGCCCGAGCATGTGAAACTGTTTCGATCGTGTGTATGTGGAGCGTAGGAACGGCGGAGTCCTCCACGGGTGCGCCGAGCGCTTGCCCAACGATGGCGACGGAAATGGTCTACTTCAACGCCTCAAACTCCGTGGTTGGCGACAAAGCTTTGATTGCCACAACTAGTGTCAAAACGAGGTGAGGCTTGAGATTAAGGTGAAGAGGCTTTTTTTCCGACGTTCGATGTTCTCCACAAGGAGGCATCCCAGGTCATGCATGCTGTCCGCCACCAGATTAGTGGCGCCTACCTCGTGGTCCAATCGCAGTTTGTTCGAATGAGGAGCTGTAGCTAGGTTGTAGCTACAGTGATTTCCACGGCGAATCCAATCAACGGAAACTAGAGGCTGATGAGACGATTCCAACGTTCCCACTGAACTTTAAGCTAAACACATTTCATGGTCAGCTACAACCGGGCATATATCAAGACACAACAGCTTTACACTTTTTTAATCTCATCAATCAGAGTCGATAGGTCGCGCTGAAACGGCCTGTAGGAGAGTCAGTTGACCCACGACGACCCCTCAAAGGAGTCTTACCTCAAACAATTGGACGTAAAACGAGTTCTATGCTCTAACACTTGAAAAACACTGAAGGCTTGACCACATCTAGCACACAAAAAGTCTACTCGAAGTAGCCGGGGAACAACCAGCTCAGCTTCTCTACAGCCTCCTTCTTCCTGCCTTCGGGCTTGGTGATACTACCCGAGAACTTGGACTGGTTCTCAAGGTGCTTGGCCAGGACCAAGTCGCTGTGCTCCTGGGCACTCAGCGCATCCAGGACGGCTCCGATGAAACGGCGAGCGTTCTCGCTGTTGGCCTTCATGTGGCCCATGACCATCTCGACGTTGACGTCCTCGGTCGTGTGCCAGCAGTCGTAGTCGGTGGCCATGCAGATCATCTGGTAGGCGATCTCGGCCTCGCGGGCCAGCTTGGCCTCGGGCAGCGCCGACATGTTGATGACGGTGCCGCCCCAGCTGCGGTAGAGGTTCGATTCGGCACGGGTCGAGAACTGCGGGCCCTCTGTGTAGGGCAAGGAAGATTCGACGTCGTCAGCGCTCAAGAGTCCAGAAGGGCAAAGGCAGGAACGGGGTAACCGCACCCATGCAGATAAGCGTGCCGCGGTCGTGCAGGGTGACACCCTCGCCCTCCAGGCTGTGACCGCACTTGCGCACGACCTTGGCGACGCCCTCGTCGAAGGGGTCGCCGAAGCCGACGTGGCCGACCATGCCGCCCTCGAAGAAGGTGAAGGGGCGGATGCCCTTGGTGCGGTCGATGATCTGGTCGGGCACGACGAAGTCGCGCGGCCGCACCTCCTCCTGCAGGCTGCCCACGGCGCTGAAGGCGATTATGGTGCGCACGCCGATGCTGCGCAGGGCGGCGATGTTGGCGCGGTTGGCCACCTCATGCGGCGCCAGCTCGTGGTTCAGGCCGTGGCGCGACAGGAAGGCCACCGGGATGGGCTCGCCCGTCACCGGCGACGGGTGATGCAGGATGGAGATGGGCGACGACGGCTGGCCCCATGGCGTGTCGACATTGAGCGTCGCGGCGAGCGTGAAGTTCGGCAGCGACTGCAGGCCGGTGCCGCCAATGACGGCAATATGCACCGGGTCTGGCAGAGAGAAATGGTGTCAGCGCAGAAAATTGGGCAATGGCGCGATTGAGCAAGTACCGGCATAGGAAGTAGCGACGTTGGCCATGATTCTCTTCGAGGGCAGGAAGACAGAACGAGTACTGCGTGACTGGAAGAGCGAGCGGCGCGCAAAAGAGCGTAGTTGGGCTGGCATGGGCTTGGGACTTCAGAAATTCTGATGCCCCGCCAGCCCGGCATGACGCCATGCAGGGATGCGGTGGACCCAATGGAGAGCCCGTGCTTTCCCGCTCAACACCATACTGCCCTATCATCACCATCGTGTCCTCCACGTTCTACTGCGCGGCATTGTCATAGGGAGGAGGTGATACCTGAGCCATGATAGCGTTCATGAAAACACCTGGTAAGGTATGCTGAACTGGGCTGATAAAGCAAGAAGGGACTATTCAATTATATGCCGACTTTGTTGGGGCATTGCTGGTAAACAAAAAGCCATGGTTTTTTTTTTTTGGAAGAAGAATGAGCTTCGAATGGTGATAGAACAATAGAGGCGGTTATCCATCTACCTTGTTAGTCGATACCTTCCCTGAAAAGACCTATTAGTAGCATGAATAATGAAAGAATGATCGATACCCAACGAACTGAAATCCTTGTTGCTTGTGAGGAGTTATCTAGAGATATAAATCTGCAAGGGACAGGATTTGATATGGTTCTTCTCAAGTCCTCGTCTCCGGGAGGAGGCTACAGCGGCCCGCTAACCATTGCTCCATATGTCCGTATGTTTTGTTACAGAACGCTATCGGACAAACTCAACGCCTCTGTTACTATTTTTGGCGTACACCTTTGGTCTGTTAGTTACATCAACAAGCCGTGGCGAACCGCAGAACGAACCTTCGTGGGCTTCCAACGCCACTGCGGCGTGAACTGGGAGACGCACGTCCACCCGTTCTCTTGCGGCCCGTCCAATTTGCGGCAGGGCGAGACCGGCGGCTCGGACGGCAAAAAGTAGTGGTGGCCTCGTATCCGCGTCATCTTCCGAGTCAGGATCGGCCGCAACATATTGAAGCGTTGCGTGCGTCATCACCCGCGCCACGCTTCGGCGATTCACCCAGAGCACGTTCACTTGCACCGCCATCCCATTCTTGCTTTGCTGCGACAAAATAGCGCCAGCCTCGCTGCAAGCCTTACACCCCGGTCCCGAAGACGCGCGCGCAGCATGCTGGTTCGTGCATATCCGTCAGGCCTGCGACCCTCAGCTGTATAAATCGTTACATCCTTCCTGCCGCTCTAACCGCTCTCTACTCACCCGTCCTACGACCCATCCACGACAGTGCAATCCCACCACTCTCCTACGCGCCCGTCCCTCGTATCGCGAAACAGGTGCGTGCTGTACCACAGCCCCGCAGCGAGCAACAAGCGCTTGGCCGCAACGCTTCTCGCTTCTTCCGCCCGCTTTCGCTCTAATTAGTGTTCCGGCGTGCTGACCTCTCGCGACAAGCAGCGCCTGCATCCTCCCACACCTTGCTGCGCCAGTCCCTCCGATAACCGCCCTCCGCCACTTCCTGAGCCCACCCTATCGCAACGAAAACCCCGCTACTACTAGCCACCATGCCCGGCTCCTCTGCCACCAGCAGCACCGCTTCCTCGATCTCCAAGCCCGTCAAGACGATCAAGACGGGCTGCCTCAGCTGCCCGTGCGGCGACGATGGCGAGTGCACCTGCTGCTTCATTCCTTGGTAAACAGCCCCACTCCCGCCCCGAGTATATCGCCTGGACCGCCTTGCTGACGCCTTGCTCTAGTACCGTGATGTAAAGTCTAAGCCATGCTGAAGCGTACGACAATGCGAACCGCGCACGCGGTAGATATCCAACATGAGGAGAGGAGGGCTGCAGCCTCTATAATCACTGTACTCTGAACAAGGCACACGAAAAAGCGGACGAGCGAGGGGACGCGATGATAAGGCGGCAGACGTTTATACCCAAACACGAATAGGCTTGAATGTTTTTCTTCTTCTTCCTTGGCTTTGAAGGGCTTGCTCATTGGATTACTGCTTCATGTGCCACTATTAGACGAAGCGTATCGCACGTCTTATAATCTCTTAAAACAAACAAGATGATTGCGCCTCGAAGGATGCTAGTCGCCACAGAATTTAACACCACCGGATCCCTATGCCATACTGACGAACAGTCCGAGCGCCTCCTCGACCCAAGGAATAAACTCCGCTCCCATATCCATCATTATGTATCGTTCGATGCGCAGTAGTGTTGCGTGCGCCTGCTCACATCACCGTGCAGGGGATGATGCAGCACGAGCAGTCGTCGCCGCACCAGCATGGCACCTTGATGGGCTTCGTGATGGGCTTGGTGACCGAAGTCGCGGTGGAGGAACTGGACGCTGTGGAACCAGGCATTGCGAATTGCGGTTGGTGATGGTGGTGGCGTAAGCTGCCCGATGGCTGGTTTTCCGGTACTTGAGCGGGGAAGTCGACGCGCGTTGGCTTGAGACCTGTACCGTGGCGTTAGCCCGCGCGAAAGGGTTGAAGGATGCTGGTGCTTACGATGTAGCAAAAATGGGCGGCGACTGCTGGTAAGGAGATCAGGTTTTGGGCCGAGAGAGAGAGAGAGTGGTGAGGGCTGGGTTAAAGTTAAAGTATGGGTGTGCACGCAACCTTGTTGTGGCTGAGGCCTGGAGATACGTACAGCGGCTATGACGTATGCGGGGATGCTAAACAGGGCGCCTGGATTGGCAGGACCAAGGAGTGGACGATTCGCGAAAACCCTTGCCGCAGTTGCGCCAACTCGCGTCGAATTGCTTATCGGATGTATCCAAATTGTGTTTCCAAATTACTAGTAGTCTCTAATTTCAGGGAAAGGTAGGGTCAGAGGTCGAGAACTATGCTGATCTAGCATATGAAGGAGGCAAAATTATTCCATTAGCAGTTAATGCGAGGGTATAGACCTGTTGTTGTTCACGCCTTCAGGAAAGAACAGAACAGTCTAAAAAACATAAAAAAAATCCGCAATATCCAGTGTGCAGTCGTTCATAGGGTAAGTCGTGACTAGGAAAAACTCCAAGGCTCAGATGTCCCGCCTGCAGCCAGGTTAACAGTCAAGCAGAGAAATTCAGAATTGTAGAAACTCACCATTTCATCTCCCCAGAGTCCGTATAAGGGGTTTTGACCGCGTTCCTGTCTGCGAACGGGTTGTCTTCGTCCTCTTCCTCTTCCGGCTCGCTCTCGCTCTCCTCCACTCTCTGCTTGCCAAAAGGCGTGGGGGCATTTCCAGGCCTCGGCGGCTTCGGTGGCGGGCTTTCTCCAAAGTTCAGGCCTGCCATCTTTTCGGTTGCAGCGGCCGTAGGCGAGGTCGGAGACCCTGGTGAGCGCACAGAGCGCGCCTCGGTCTCAGAGTCACTGTCATCTGAGATTGATTTGTCCATAATTTCATACGACATAAGGGCCTTTACGAGCTCATCGTTAGCGCTCAACAAACTGCCAATCCACTGGTCCGACTCAACGAGCTGGATGTAGCGCAGAATTTGCCGGCGCAGCTGCTTGCAGTTGTCGAACAGCTTGACGACTCCGTTGTTCTCCGACACACGCTGCTGCTCGCGGTTGATGAGCTGAAGGGCATTCAAGAGGTTGGTGCTGGCCACGGATGCTGCGGCTATGGTCTCCATCATCTTTGGCTTCTCCCTTTCGAGGTTGAATGGCTGCGACTTGGACTTCTTGTGCTTCTTCTCTCTGTGGCTAAAGAAGGACGAAGACGTGCTCACGGGCGCAGCAGGCGTGAACGAAACCTTTGTCGACGAAGTTGCAGCGCTGGAAGAGCTGTGAGAAGGGCGACTGTCGGTAATGGGTGAAGACGGAACGCTATCGGCGTCGGCTTCAGTCTCCTTGATCACCTTGGACTGATGCGGCTGGGGCCTTCTCGTTTGGGGCAGTTGCTTGTAGAGTGCGGCGATTCTTTCAAGGCCCGGCTTGCCTTTGTATGCAACAGCCCATTGCCGGAAAAGAACGTTGCATTTCGCCCGGACATCGGCGTCGACCATGTCGTCGCGAGCGAGGATACGTAGCCGCTCAAGGAGGGGCTCGTCAGCAAATGCACGCTGGAACCGCGGCCCAGCGTTTTGAATCAAGCCATCGAGAATAGTCAGCGCGCGAAGCTGGCGGTGCACGCTGCCATATTTCCTACGGTGGCGTCGTCAGAAATGAGCTAATCGTCGAGGTTTTGAAACGTACAGCTTTTTGCGGATTGCACGTGCGGCTTCCGTCGGGCCTGACTCTTGAATGCGAATAACCTCGACCAGGTCGACAATGCCCGCCAGGTCATTCTCGTCGTACTGCTCGCTCGTGAGGCGGTCTATCTGGACCGTTACAGCCGAATACGGCTTCTTCTGCAGGTAGTAGAACGTCTTCAGCAAAATGTACGTTGCGGGGGACGACATCGTGGATAGGGAGGTTAAGGAGCAGGGCTGGAAATGAAGTTGAGGACCCAGTGCGGATCATAGCATGACTCGCTATTGATAGTGTTGATGGGGGCACGAAGAGAGGAAAATTGAACCCCGCGCAGCCGTTTTCCAGGAGAGACCGTGCATATAGGATACGCACATGCCATCGCCATGGTGAGGGGCTGAGGCCAGGTGCCGAAGGTTGGAGAGGAGGTACCCACCGAGCCGCTGAACATGTCGAAGGACGGATCGTGCTTTTCTGTCTCGGTTCAAGAACAAGCGAAGCAGTCCGTTCACGCCGTAGGACTATGTTTTTTCGCTGCCGCCCACTCTAGAGAAACGTCGTCAGTACACGATGACTCGACGAGGGGGGGAGCGCCCGGCGAGAGTGGGCGATGCGGTGTTGCGGCAATGTGGCGGTGGGCAGGCGATGCGCAACACCCCGGACGCATCGACTGGCAGCGGGAACGTGTCGAATGGGCGTACCTTGACGGGCGACGGTGTCTTTCTTTGAGCGACAGGCTGCAGCAGTCGCGTGCGTGCAGAGTCAACCTCGGCGCGGACGAGGATGCTGGCGCGGAATGCCAGCACGTGCAAGCGGCGGACGGGCGGCGGCCAGGCGGTCCTGGTGGGAGACGCTGCGGAAGCACGGAAAGAGAATTTCAGGCTCGGCAGACGATCCGAAGTGAGTGTCCCGTGGTGTTGTGTTTCGGGCTGCGAGAACGCTGCTGCCCCACCACGAATCAGTGCCTCCGTCATCGCCGGCGCCGCCTGGCCGCCGCGCCCACCTTCCTTCTCATCCCCGCACCTTGTACCCAGTTCCTTCTCTCAACCGTGCACGTCTCACAAATCCAGAGTGCAAAGCATGAGTCCAGCTGACCAGCCCCCATCAAGCAAGGTACCGGCGCGACCACGCCCCTGCAGCTTCCGGATCGCGCGCGCTTTCCCGCGCTGCAGCCGCTGATCACACCGCGCTGATCCCGGGCATGCCTGCATCGACAACGCCATCCGATGCGTGATCATCCATCGCCTGCAGCTTGAAGTGACTTCTGCGAAATAATGCCCCACAGCAACTGGGGTTTCACTCCAATCAACCGCCGCAAAAGCCCTCCAGAGTCTGAGCTTGCTGCGCCGACTCAGCCTTCACAGCAGAACCAAGCAGCTCGCCGGCGAAGGAAGAACCCGCTGATTCAGAAGTACCTCTCCCCAGGCAAATCTGCGAGTGCGTCCATGTTTGAAAGAGCTGCGATATCTCATGGCGAGGAACCTCAGGTGAAGAAACGAAAGACTATCAAGCACTCGGAAGGAGACGGAAAGAACCATGGGGCGACCGGAAACCAGGCCCGGCCCAAGCCGAATACCAGCGGAAGACGGGTGGTTTCTGAAGGCATGCGAACCAGCAAGCCGTTCGCGTTTTCACCCATTAAGCCTAACCATCCTACCTTTAATCCGAGGTCTGCTGCGGACAAAGTCGTGGCATCCAGTGGCATCAATGACCAGCGCCCCGAGTCCATTTCCAAGGATACACCTGCCAGCTCGAATGCCTTCAAGAGTATCATAGGTGACACCATATCTGTAGTATCACCTCTCACGTCAATGGATATCATCTCTGCGCACCCAACCTCTAGCTCCACTCTCGAAAATGTGTCGGCATCACAGCAGACCTCTTGCGACGGCCTTCAAGACTATAAGGCTACTAATGAGAACGGGAGAAGTCCAGCTGATCGCTCCGACAATGCTGGGGACCTACAAGCAAAATACTCTAACCACCCTCTAGGCCACCTGTTTTCCTCTACTACTCAATCGCAACACATACCTAATCATCAACGGGTGCACAGACTGGCCCGCAATCCACAGCTTGGCACGATCGTTGAGGAAGCCGAATCAGATGCACTCCCAGCGACTCACGACAACGATGGCAAGTGTAGTATATCACCTCCAGCCAACTATCTCAAGACGATAGAAGACATATCTGATGGTTTCGATATGTTTGATGACGGACTCTCTGACACTGACCTTTTGTGCCTTGTGGACGCGAACGAAATCCAGCTACCACAGAAAGATGAATGCGGCTTGTCAACATCCAAGTTTGCTGCAAGAGGATATGCAGATGAAGGCTGTCCCCAAGCAGTCGACTACTTGGACATGGACGGATTTTTTGCAGAAGACCTGGAGTTGTCTGAAGACGAGAATGTCAATGCCATGGAAGCAGCAGATGCAAGTATAGGCACCGCAACGATACTGAATCAGGTCTCCAGCAATATCCAAAAGATCCAAGCGACTCCAACCACTCTTTTCTCGAGCTGCGCGGAAGCACAGAATGCGCAATCTCCGGAGCACAAGCCTGTCCTCAGGCCACCTTTCCCAGATCGTGCGCAAGAGCGATCACCGATCCTTGGGCTTTCAGGCGCAACCTCTCTCCGTGTGTGTTTTCGCATTGGCGAGGCGCTCAATGTGGGTATCCAAGCAGTGCGCGAACGTCAGTCTGTCGTTATCGAACTCTATGCCAGGGTCCGCTGGGCATTCAGAGAGCCCCGTTCTGTCAAGCAACATTTCATCTTCATGGATCTCTATCATGATCGTCCGCCTTACCTTGACGGGACCTACGATGGTTGGAAAGGCGTTGAGCTCTACGAACACGACAGCGGTAGATTCCTGGAGCGGTCGGACCGCCCTCTGACTTGTCGGTGCGTAGGAAAGCTGAAGCGCGACGGTAAATCCTGGAGACTGGTGATCGCTAGCATCTGGGAGGCCTCGATAGACGATGTGGAACATGTCCTCAGAGTCATCCAATCGTAGTGCGAGACTTCATCCGGACCGTCTCACTACAACGGTGTGTATGGGTCGCCTCGTCATTGGGTCCACGCAGTTACACTGGCCAGGTCTTTGCGTACATGGCTGGTGGCCCCTGCTCCGGCCGCTACCCTGATTAGCAATTTACCCGGGGAATCTGTTGAACGTCATGAACGGAAAGAATGGCAAATGACGGCTTTGCTTTGCTATCTACTTACCTTATGGTTCTTTGTGCAAAGGTGTCGACGGAGCGTGATGGCTGCGTGCTCAGAGCAGGGCCCAAAGCGTCCGCCTGCTATCTTTGGGCTCGCTTACCCTTCTGTCTAGCAGGGTTGCTGGCGGCTATTGCTGGGATGTGTTTGGGCGGACTGGCGGGTGGAATCTCAAGGAAAAGGCTCCGGTGGCAGTCGGGTAGATGAGACATTCGAATTTCAACAAGAAAGGCCAGGGTGGGCTTGGTCTGGTCAATGGTCCAGTAGACCAGCAGAGCCATGGTACACGTCACGTGGTGGATCTGCGGCAGAGGGTTCCCGCAGGGCTCCCACGACTGCTCCCCCTCCGGGCCCTCTGCCTTTCGAATCCCCTTGAAATGCCGCTATGCCCTTCAATGCAAGCCGTGCCAGATACCACCCGCTCCGGTAGCAGCATACGCCACGAATGGATGCCGAAGAAATTTCGCCCACGTCCGCCAGCAGCTCCATGACGCAACCGTCAGTACGAGCGATGCTCGCCGGCTCCTTCAGCAGCCAGAGCGCATCCCACGGGCCAGAGAAGCGCGAGCAGGCCGAAGGTGAGAAGGGCGGGCTCAGCTCTGCGTTCCAGGACGAAAGAACGCCTTCCGCGTCGCCTTCCAAAAACCGGTCGCTCTCGGACTCGCAGGCCCCCAAGCTTTCGCCCTCGCCCAAGATCGTGTCGAAGCGCGCGTCCAAGGACGATGCAACCATCAGCACCCCGCGCACCCCGCGACGACCCGACTTCATAGCTCGCGGCCTCTCGCTGCAGATGCCCCCGCGCGACCCGAATCTTGGACTCCAGACACCGACCCAGTTCAGCCGCGTTCCTCTGTCGCCTCAGCTCGACGCGCGAGACACCTACGGCACCCCCGCCACCGTCCTGCCTCGGCATTCCCGGGGCCTCGATTTCGCGCGCGCATGTACGAATCTGCACCACTCGACACTGGCGGAGCAGTCTTCTCCTGACTCCTCGCCGACAATCACCCAGAAGGGCATGATGATCCCCCAGCGGAGGAGCAACATTACGTCCTTCGCACTTGACTCTCCACACAACGACCACACCCGCTGGCCCGGCATGCACCACGAAAAGAACAGTCTAGTATCGAGCTCACTCGGCAGCGTCAACATGCTGGGCTCCGACTCCTCCGACAGCGACTCCGACGAGGACGATCCCATGGATCCCGACGACAACGACGACCCGATGGTCATGACGCCTCATGTTCTCAAGCTCGACAAGAATGCGGGCGGGCCTTTCGGCGCGCCGCCCAATGTGGCAAGCCCGGGCGGTGTTTGGCCTGGCGGCTTTTCACCGAGTGGCCCTAACTTTCTGCAGATACAAAGAAACAGGCTGAAGAAGGTGCGAAGCAGGAAGAGTTCAAGCAGCGCAAGCGGGCACAGCTCTCTAGCCAGCCCAGGCCCCGGATCGCCTCCCGCAGGCAAGCCGTTCGATGGAGCCAACGGTGGGTACTTCGCTCGCGAAGCTGTCATGAGGAAGGCGGGGTCTAGACGCGAAAGCTTGAGCGTCGTCGCCAACGACTTGACCATCTCCTCCGGCAACGACAGTGGCGACGAGGCCGGCATGCCAGCGCCCACTACTCCCGGCGTCGTACGCCGAACCGTCGTTCGGCGCGGAAATCTTCTGGTGAGGACCGACCGGCTGACGTCACAAGCTCGCTCATGTTCGCTAACACACCCGCAGCCCAAGTCTAGACAGTTCGGTCGCATCCGCGCAGAGCTCCTCGAAGAGAGTGCACCGGTCGATAGCGAAGTCAAACGCGAAGCCGAGATCATCCGCCAGGTCCGCGAGAGCGATGACCTGTCTACAACCGGTCGCGAGGGGTCCATCACCGCAAACTCTTCGCCAAGTCTCCTTCCTGCAGTGCCCGGCCTGAACGACCTTGAGGACATACCAGAAGATGCCGGCATGGATATGGAGCTTGCAGCAGCTGCCGCGGCCAACGGAAAGGGCCTGTTTGGGGCCTTCAACCTGCAACCGTGGAAGAGCGCCGAGAGGCCATCTTGGAGCAACCACGACGGTCGACACACCCCGCCACCTCCCTTCCTAGCCCGCGGAAGCTCCTCTGCCATCAGCGATGATATCAACATGGATTCTCCCGTCGCTTCCATGGCGCAGTACCGGCATAGAATGTCAACCACGTCTGACATGAACAAGGATGATGCCTTCTCTCGCGGGTCAACACCACAGCCGATGATTCCTCCAACTGCTGCTGAGGGTCTGAAGAAGAAACGCCGGAGGGATGACGACTTTGACGTCCATTCTATAAAACGACGGGCTGTATCTCCAGGCTTGAGTGTCACCAACAGTCCTGTGCTATCACAGTCGCCGCAGCAGAGGGAGGGGGTTTGGGGTCCGAACAAAACGAGTAGAGAGGGTTCGATCGCTGGCAGCGTTCCAAGCGGTGGCCATGCTGCAGGAGAAAGATCCAACAGCGGAGGAAGCACAATGTGCGCCACTCCGAGCTTGGGACCGAAGAGGGTCGGCTTGCAGGGCATGACGGATACCAACGACGGACTCATGAAAATGAGTATCGAATGATAGCGCGCGCTTTGCTCTAAGCTTTGTACGAGTACGGCGCAACAGGGATGGATTACGGAACGGCGTTCGGGGACGGGCTCAGGGCTGGACAATAGCGAATTATGATATCCTCGTGCTGCTGGGTTAAATTGGGGCGGTCTGTAACTTCAATCAAGCAATTTTCATAAATGTCTACCACTGCGACTTGTTGCTCTTGTGACGGCCGTCTTGGTCGTAGACCCTTCGCCGGGTAGTGCTATAGTGAAAGCGGTCCCTGCGGCGGTGCCCGGGGGTTTCAACACCACCGCCGACCCCGCGACGATCTCCCGCAACTACAACAACACAGCTGCATCCCTGAGCTCGCCAAACCTCTCCTACGCCCTTCCCTGTCCCGTTCAGTCCCGCAATATGGCAGCCAGCAGTGCCGCATTGGGCTCCTTCGTCGAGTCTGCTCCGCCAGGAGAGGTTCGTCCAGCGCTCTGGCCCCTCCGTCGTCTCGCAGCTAACCAGCCTACAGCTCTCCAACGTTACCGCCGGTGCGATCGCAAACCCCCAAGCATCCCGAAACCTGCCCAAATACTCATCTGAATTCGATCCGTAGCCATCAAGTCCATTACGGGCAGCGACGACGTCTCGTCCCTGGCCCCCGCCTACCAGAAGTACAATGAGGAGCAATTCGCGACGACCAAGCTCCCTGGCGGCAGTGAAGCTGTAAGCTCGACCCTCGGACTCACCAGCGCACATTGACGCCCTTCGTCACCGGGTCGCACGGCCCGTCTCTCTCTTTTACGAAGGCTAACCCCCCCTCCTCCCGGCAAACATCAGGTCGTCATCAGCCCGTACAACTCGCTCGGCGACGGCCGCTACTACGACGTCGGCGCGGCCTCGTCGTTCGCCTTCGACCACGTCACGCAAAAGGCGTCGGACGTGCAGTCGCACGTGCTCGAGTCGCCGCAGGCCGAGCTGGTGCAGTCGCTGCTGAAGGCGCTCGGCGCGCACGCGGCGGAACACTACCCGGCGGCAGCACTGGGCGTCTACCCGACCGAAGAGGACAGCAAGGTCGCCGTCGTGCTCGTCAGCAACAAGTACTCGCCCAGCAACTTCTGGAACGGCCGCTGGCGCAGCGCGTACGTCGTCGACCCGTCGGGCGGCGCCATCACCGGCAGCATCAAGGTCGACGTGCACTACTACGAGGACGGGAACGTGCGCATGTTGACGGAGAAGCCCATCTCGGCGAGCGCCGGCGCCGGCGGCGGCGCGAGCGATATCGTGAGGGCGCTGGCAAGCGCGGAGAGGAAGTACCAGGAGGACCTGAACAGGGCGTTTGCGAGCTTGAGCGAGGGCGCGTTCAAGGGCTTGCGCAGACAGCTGCCGATCACGAGGCAGAAGATTGAGTGGGAGAAGATTAGCGGATACAAGCTGGGTCAGGACATTGGTGGTGGCAGCTCGAGGAGGTAAGACACATTTCCCGTTTGTTGCGAAGGGAAACTTCTGGCTGGTACAGCGGAGGGCGGCCTCTTCGCTTTCCTATCTTCAGAAGACCGCCGGTCAGACGGACAAACATATATGGCAGGCAGCTGATGTGACGTGCAGTTGAACGGAACAACCTAGAACGGTGTAGAGTGCCTGGCAAATAACGGGCTCGGGAGGAGAACAAATATATTCTCTTTTCAGATCACGCTCAATGAGCACAAATTCCAGCCGATCGTGTCTGTCGCTGTTTGATTTATATACTGCTTTACCAAATAATCCTCCTCTGCAGCCCTTGTTCCGGCTATATGCCTGTGCCTATAAGCAACTGGAACGGCTATCAGGGTATGATATCAATTTTGGAAATGTACTAACATCCAAAGTTCCAACTACCTGCGCAAGGAAGCGTAGTACTGTGCTAGCTGCAGAACACAGGAAGCCAAAGCTAAGATTTGGGTAAGGCACTTGTGCTTGCGTTCAGCCTCCGTTCAATCATCCGCTGATTGTAGACTGTCATGGGGCCATGGGGTGTGATAGTTTCCGCTCTCTGGGACCCCCCTCTGCCTTGTGTATATATATATATGTATGTATATATGCGCTGCCGGCTTCTACTTCCGTTTCGGTCATTTCTTTGAAGTTGGAGTTGATTCCGCGATGGTCATCTCTCTAGGTTCCCGGCGGTCGTCCTTCCAACCACACCCCCCACACCTCCCACCCCGAACCCGCCCCTCCGCACGCACCTCCTGCCTCTCTGGGGCATTAGGGTGACGTATTACTGTCCCGGCCGGTAGTTTTTCGGGTCACTGGCCGCGATGTGCTTTGGTCTCCTTTACTTAAAGCCTGGCTGCCACCACTTCTTCCTTCTTCAACTTCCTCCGACCTTCAACTTTTTTCCGACAATCTCCGACAGAGTCACTTTCGCTCAGCCTTTCACTCGCTCAATCGACACTTCATCCAATCGTAAAAGGCCCACCTGCTAGATTCGCCAACCCGTGCACTAACACTCTTTAGCAGAGGCACTATCCCTCGATCTTCCACCCGCGTAACCAGCCCCTCACGCAACCTATAAAAGGTCACCTACTCCACCCGTCAACTGGTATCCACGTTTCACTCCTCTATCCAAGTAGACATGCTCTGACCAACCGACAGGTGCCTTGATCATTTCTGACATCCACACAACTCGTACATACATATACTACTTACCATGTCCCACTCGACTCAAGGCCAGAAGATGAGCGATTCTCACGAGCTTGGCTCGTCTAGTATTACTCAGCAGACAGTATACCACCAACCGGTTACCGCAGAACCTACGGTCAACTCAGATCCAGAGGCTCAGGTCCAGGATGATAGCATGACCGGGGTCGTCAGACATGACAACGACATGAGAGACATCACACAGATTGAGTCCATGCCAACAACTGAAGAGCTATATTCAAGTAAGCTAGAGTACCTGCCGACGACAGACCCAAGGACGTGGCACAAGCGGGGCCTCGAGGGTTTGGTCGACCGTCAGTTTCGCCTCTTCCGCGAAGACAACGTCGGCATCCTGAGGGATTCAATCAGGAGCTATCTCAACATCCCCTTCACCTGGAAGCGCCATTCTTCTGCCGAGTTCAATGTGTACCACAATGTATTGCTTGACTCGGAACTTTCCTTCGACCTACACGGAGGCCTCGTCTTCTCAATGCGACTCCCTCAACCACAAGAGGCCCACGCATTGACTCCGAGTGAACGGTACGAGTGGTGGGTCAAGAAACAAGGCTTCCAACACGATACCCTCGTTTGCCTGTGGAGCAAGGACATGGATCTGATGTTCGCTTCCGTCGGTCACTACAAAGACCACAACCTGCTGAAGAACGACTACGGATCCGACAAAGCAAAGATCTTCTTTCGGCCGTTCGAACAGTCAGCTCGATTCACCAGCTGGCTCTTGAGAAACGCCAACCAGAGAGTGGAGAGGAACTACACGTTGTTGGAGTTTCCCAACCTCTTGACGTGGAGTTTTGCCCCTCCTCTTCGAGCCCTGAAACAGATGAGCACCATGTCGGACACGCCCTTGTCCACTGCCTTGGAGCCATCCGAGCTGCCTAAACCGATCTGGATCCACCCTGCACATTATGCAATGGGTGATGGCTTCAACTTCCAACTGGGCAAGACTGTGGCAGGTGATGGTCAGGGTGAGCTGGCCGTGTCCGACTTGTTCGAAAGCACCGCAATTCCAGCTGGCTCAAGCCTTGATGATGGCCAAGCACGTGCCTTCCTTCACGCGCTGAGGCACCGCATCGCACTCATCCAAGGCCCGCCTGGTACTGGCAAAAGCTACACAGCTGTCGCAGTCATCGAAACCCTACTCCGGAGTCTTGACGGCGATATATCTGGGCCAATCATGTGCGTCAGTCACAGCAATCGAGCTCTTGACGGTCTCCTTGAGAAGCTCCTGAATGCTGGTGTTGGCAACATGATTCGTGTTGGTGGCCAGTCGAAGTCCGACGCTCTTGAAAACATTAACTTGGATGTTCTGGTGCGGAACCAAGCGCAGCTTCCAGAGGACAAGCAAGCCATCACCAAAGCTGCAGGAAAATTCTTCCGGAACAGCAAAGGTATCCGCTCGGATCTGGCCAAGCTCGCTCGGGTGGACCAAGATGGTGAGAGGGAGCAAATATGCAGCGGGATCAAGAAGAAGTTCTCGAAATGGACGGAGGCGCAGCAGGAATACAGTGCGGCTATGGAGCGCCATCCTCTTGGCATTCTACAAAAAGCAAACATCATTGGCGTCACAGCAGGCGGAATGGCTGTCAGGCGCGAGCTTTTTGAGAAGCTCGATTGCAAGGTCATCGTCTTCGAAGAAGCTGGCACCATTCCCGAGGCCCTTGTTCTGACGTCGATAACGCCGAGCATGGAACACTGCATCCTTATTGGCGATCACTTCCAGCTTCGTCCTAAGGTCAATCGCAAGGAGCTGGAAAGCAATACCAACCCGGATGCTGCCAAATTCGGGTTCGATGTGTCGCTCTTGGAACGCCTCGTTCACTTCGGTTTCCCTTTCGAAGTATTGAACACACAGTACCGCATGCGTCCTGAGATCTCTCGGCTTAGTAGAAGTACTCTCTATCCGATGCTGAAAGATGCCGCTGCAGTCCAGCACCTTTCCGCGGTTCCTTCGCTGTCCGAGAGGATGTTTTGGTTCGACCACCAACATCATGAGTTGAAATTGGATAAGACAGCTAGAGTCAATGCGTTCGAGGCTAGGATGATTGCGGGCTTGACCAGGCACCTCACATCACAAGATGGTGTTCATGGAGACACCATCTTAATCCTTACGCCGTACGCTGCGCAAGCCAAGGCTCTCCAGGAGAAGATTGAGGGATTTCACCCCGTCGAGGTCGTTTTCGGGAAGGACGGCAGAGACCAGCAGCCGAACGATGCTGCATCGGGACGAATTCGCATTGCCACTGTGGACAGCATTCAAGGGGACGAATCCGACATCGTCCTGCTTTCCATGGTTCGAAGCAACGACTGGGAGGGTACCGGTTTTATCAAGTCTGCCAACCGTTCCATCGTTGCGCTGAGTCGAGCCAGGCGTGCCATGTTCATCTTCGGAAACATGAAGATGCTTCAACAGGTGCCCTTCTGGGCCCAAATCATCTCCAGTCTTGACGAGACCAGCAGCATTGGTACTGCTCTGGCAATCGACTGCCCTCGACACCCTGGGAACACGATCCACATCAAGGAACCGGCAGACTTCGGCAAGCATTCTCCTAATGGAGGATGCGTCGTTTCTTGCGGCAGGCTTCTTGCCTGCAACCACCGTTGCCCTGAGTTGTGCCACAGTGATCTGCTGCATGACAGGACAATCTGCATTCAGCCATGCAGAAGCATACTGGACTGCGGGCATCCCTGTGCTAACATTTGCGGGTCTGCCTGCACAACGTACTGCGAGGTGCGGATCCAAAATCCGAGAGTGATCCTTCCGTGCGGACACAAGGCACCTTCCGGACTCCAATGCTACAAGTATCAGGACCCGGTCCTCCTTCAGGAATCGTGCTCGGCATCCGTCGAGGTTCAACTTGACTGCGGCCATAAAACCCAACGCCTTTGTTCTGAAGGCGACGTCACATTCTGTCGAAGCACTTGCGGAAAACTTCTTCCATGCGGCCATAGTTGCATCGTACAATGCCACAAGGGCCATCGTTGCCCGCCGTGCCAATCACCCTGTGAGATCCATTGCCAGCACCAGGCCTGCTCCAAGGTATGCAGCGAAATTTGTCTCCCATGTCTGCACCCAGACTGTGCCGCTTCCTTGCAGGTTGGGACGAAACAGTTTGTCATGAACACTCGCTCCCAGTACATCAAGCTGGCACACGAAGCAGTTCAAGAAATCCGCAGGCTGCAAGCATCCCTCCCCACAGCTTCCGCCAACCTAAACAAACGCTTCTCCAAGAGCGCCACCATCACCAGCGACGCCGCAGGCAAGCGGACCCACATATCCAAAATCCACCGCCTAGCCGGCCGCGACGGAAGATACAAGCACGTCGTCCGAATCCTCCACGACATCAGCGCCACCTTCCAACTCGCCAAAGCCGTCGAAGCCGCCATCCAGTCCGCCTGGGACCACCACCACCACCACTCGTGCCAGCCGCTCATGAATCCTCCCACCACCACCCCCACCCCCCAACTCCAAGAACGCCTCCTCCTCCTCCTCCTCTCCGCCCGCCTCGAAATCGCCGCCCTCTCCGACTTCCTCACCATCCGCTCCCACGCCGGCGCCTGCGACCCCCTCACCCTCGACTTCCGCTTCTGCCGCGCCCGCTGCGCGCACGTCTTCCACGCCACACACGCCCGCTCCCTGCCCGGCCTCTCCGTCGAGGCCGACATCCTCTGGGCGCAGTGGCTCGTGCTCGAGCGGAGGGCACCACCCGCACCCGCACCCATTCCCGACGTCGATGCCGACGAGGCGCGGTACCGCTTGCGGCGCGCGGAGGGGGCGCTCGATCCGGAGGCGGTGGGCGCGTTCATGGACGGGGCGCATTGCGTGGGGTTGTTGGGGGAGGTGTGGAGTGCGGAGGGGCCGCTGGCGAGGGAAGAGCGTCGGTGGAGCGCGGATACGGGTGTCCGGTTGGATGGGTTCGTGGCGGGGGTGGAGGCGATGGGGAAGGAGGTGGAGGGTGCGGTGGCGTGGGAGATGTGTGAGGCTGGGCACTATTTCCCCGTGGCGGCGGCAGGTGGTGGAGTCTGTTCGGGGTGTGGGAGGCGGGCTTGGGATATGTCGGCCATTGGAGGTGCTGGTGAGGAGGATGCGCTGATGGGGGAGCGCTCTGGTCAGGGTGCGGAGGATGAGATGGAAGGGGTTGAGTCTCTGAGCCGTAAGTTCATACCCTTTCGACTTCACATGGGAACAGCTGAATTACAACACAGATTGAAACCATCACCGGGAGATCTCATCGGGGGCTTTGTCGCAGCCGTATCACTGAGCTCGATATATAATCGTGCAATATCCAGGTGTCGGATCGTGCGGCGTATCGTGCTGGCTGGACAACTATTCTTACGTTTTGTAATAGGGCACGCTTCGAGCTCAAAAAGAATACGGACCCGGCGGGTGAAGACTGGACTAAGCAAGTCTACCACCCTCACTAGAAGAAGCTCAGCGCAACTATGCATTTGAAGGTGAACATCTCAAGAGGCGACATAGCGGAGAGGTGGAACTATGTTTTGGATGACTTGGGTAGCTTCGGTGCCATCTTGATAGAGGCTAGGATAGGGTTAAATAATGTATAACACCACGAAGCACGGGAAAGGGTCTACTTGTTCCAGAGTGTTGTCAGACGTGACCTCTTCAGAGCGCTTGAACGCTGATCCGATACAACAACGGTCCTGCCTGTGGCGCAAGTACAAAGGGGCTGAGGTGGTGGCGGCGGCGGCAAATCCGCGCCCAAGAGCGGTTCCATGTCTTTGGTCAGCGTCCGGCTGGCTGTGGCGCTGAGGGACGTTTTTAGGGTTTACGGATGGCCGTTGTTCCCAAACATCAAGTTTGACTGCTCCTCCCATTTTGTGATCATGATGCTAGCGCTGCCCGTTGAGGGGCCGCGATGTTCTCCTCTTATGCTATGGTTTTTTTTTTTTTTTTAAAATCGCCAAATTTCAACACTCTGGCAACTTTACCACATCCACACCCCCAATCCAACCCACTCGGGAACCACAATAAGCTATTCCTCGAATCCTCCCAGAAGAAAAGGGTAATAATGCCCCTTCCCCCCCCCTGAATCAAAACGTCACAACACTCGCCTCCAACACGCCCTCGCCCCCAATCAAACTCCTCACCACCTCCTCCCCCACCGGCCCATCCACGCCCAAAATCATCAACGCCTCACTCGCCGCCTCCTCCCCTCCACCCTCCCCCGCCCCTCCCTTCTTCTCTCCCTCCTGCTGCTGCACCAACGGCGCGACGATCATGCTCGATATATTGACCCCGGCAGCGCCGAGCCTGTTCCCCACGAAGCCAATCTTGCCGCAACTGTCGAAATTGCGACAGATCAGCATGGTCCCCTTGGGCACGAAGTTCGCCGCCGTCGCGAAGCGGTCGAGGCGCGAGATGTGCGGCGTGTTCGCCGACACGAAGCCCTGGATGACTTGGTCGTCGGCACCGACCGCGTCTGATCCCGGCTCGTCGGTGATGGCGCTGTCAGCTCTGCGATGCTGCTGCTGCTGCTGCTGCCCCCCACCGCCCGTATTGCCGCGCGTGAAGCTCGGCCTCACGCCGCCGCTGTGGGACACGGACGAGGCGCGGCGCGAGGGCCGCGCGCGCAGGGTGATGCTGCTGGCGAAGCCGGAGCTCGCTTCGCCTTCGTCGTCGTCGGCGCGGGCGCGGCGCTCGTTGATCAGGATGCCGCGTTCCTTGGCGACGAGCTCGGCGTTGACGATGTTGACGTTGGGGCCGCCGCTGCCTTGTTCGGTGATGGGGCCGAGGAGGCCCTTGATGAGGGCGGCGAAGAGGGGTTTGGTGGTGTTGAGCGTCGCGAGGTGGCCGTGGTAGGTGAGCTCGAAGGTGGTGCGGAAGGATGACGACGACGACGACGAGGCGTGGTGGCGGCGTTGCTGCGCGCTGTAGTGCTGCGTGTACAGAGACCCCATCCTCTCGACGAGCGTGACGAAGGGCTGGAGGGTGCGGTATTCCTCCGGAAGGATGAGGGGCGCGTTGACGGCGCTGCGGGGGAGGTCGCCGGCGAGGATGGCCGTGACTTGTTCGCACACGTCGATGGAGACGTTTTCTTGGGCTTCGACTGTTGAGGCGCCGAGATGCGGCGTCGCGACCACCTTTGGGTGCGCGACTAGCTGGGCTGCTGGAGAGCCTGGTGCAGGCGGTTCGGTGGTGAAGACGTCGATGGCTGCGCCGGCAACGGTGCCGGCTTCGAGGGCTGAGAGCAGCGCCGCTTCGTCGATGACGCCGCCGCGGGCGACGTTCAGGAGACGTGCGGTGGGCTTCATCCTGGAAAGCTCCTTCGTGCCGATCATTCCCTTGGTCGAGGCTATCAGAGGCGTGTGGATGGTGAAGAAGTCGGCAGCAGTGAGCAGCTCATCCAAGCTGTCCTTGAGCTCGACGGATGCCGCCGCTGCTATCTGAGCATTGGCGTATGGATCGTAGGCTATGACCTTCATGCCAAACCCGTTGGCGATCCGGGCAACGGTAATTCCAACTACGACCATGTTAGATTAGGGGTTGTCCTGGGCAGTTGCTGCTTACCTTTGCCCGCTCCTACGATAGCTAGAGTCTTGCCCTTCAGTTCGATACCAACAAGTCTGCTGCGTTCCCACTTGCCCGCCTTAAGGCTTGCGCAAGCATCACCGATATTACGAGCCACGGCCATCATCACTGCGATATGTCAGCAAAGTCAAAGCAGTGGTTGGGTTGACGAACAGGCAATGGTATGCTCCGCAGCGGCACCAATATTGCCGCTCGGGCTGTTGACGACGATGACACCATGCTTCGTTGCGCTTTCAACGTCTACCTGGTGCGAGTGTCAGAGTGTTTGAGCCAGAGCCTCGCGGTTGGGGGTTGGAATACATTGTCAACACCAACGCCAGCCCTGGCAACAACCTTGAGCTTTGTTGCAACTGACAACAGATCGGCGGTGACCTTCGTCTCGGAGCGCACGATCAAAGCTTGGTAATCCGGGATTATCTCTTTGAGCTGATCTGGAGACAAGCCCTTCCGTTCGTGCACCTCGAAGTTCTCTTGAAGCAGGGCAAGTCCGTCTGGAGAGAGCTTTTCGGGAACCAGGATTTTGGGACGGGGCGTCTCCGCACCGTTTGAAGGCAGCGTCGGCATAGGCATTGTCACACGCCAATGCCCGATATGTGATCAAAGAACAAAGACGAGAGGGTACAAGAAGGGTGACGGGCTCGTCGGAGCGGCGTATTTGAGGCCAAGAGTGTTTTGGGAAGAATGTCCGTCAACGGCGGCGGTCCCTGGAGATCAGCTGAGACCTTGCGCACATCTCGACGTCTCCGTCAGGTCCGGGAGGGACGTTTCGCAGGTGTACTTACCGCATCCGGTAGAGGTCCTTACCCCGCTTCCGTTGCCCCACGCCGCCGCCGGACACCACTGGTCGTTGCAAGCCACCAATCATGCAGTCACCCCACGCGCCTGCCATAAACACGTCACGCTTTTGATTGCAGATGCCACACAGCTGTTCCTGAGCCAAAGAGGAGCCGTTCAAGCACCCTGTTGTCAGTTGTCTGTGATACACCCATGTCGCCACTGACATACAGTGCAGCGGTGATCGGATAGGCGTAACCTGCTATTATCCAATGCTATTTGGTTACTTGGCGAAACATGACGACTGGCTGGGTAAAGGCATGTCTTGTGCAAATGGTTGAAGCATCAGTCCCAGAATGTTTTTTTCGCAGCATAAATGCCAGGGCAGGACGGGCGAATGCTTTGTCTCCCCCAATTATGCCATTGACGGATAGTTACCAAACCATTACGTCTTTGGCGATGTAGAAAATGCTCGAGGAAGCCCAAAGATGGCACCCAAATCTCTCTCACCACAGCGGTAAATGTTTCGTTGTTTCAGTCATGTCGGTCGTTTTTCAGATCCCTATACAGCTTCGCTACGCTCCATGTTACTTGTCACTCGACTAGGGCTCGATAGCCAGATCACCAGTTTGACCTCTGCTTCAACTTTTCATTCTGCACGACCTCGATCCAGTAATTATCGGGATCTATTGGAATGTCAGCCGTCATTCATTCTTGGGCTTTGCGCAGTCTTACCGAGGATGAACGCAATATTCTTCATCCGGCCGTCGGTCAGCCTCTTCTTCCAGTTCACTCCCTTCTCCTCCCAACGCGAGCAAGCCGCATCCAGGTCGTCAACAGAGACGCAGATATGCCCAAAGCCCTGGGGCTGGTCGTTTCCGTTGTGGTACTTGAATTCAGCGTCATCTTCCGTGCCGTAGTTCCAAGTCAATTCAAGAAGGCCTTCCTGGTCAGCAATAGGATTGACGCCATTCGCGGTTTGCTCGGGTGCAGGCGACCCGTAGCCGAGGAAATAGAGGTTGAACTTGGCCTCCTTGTTCTCAGAGACGCGCTTCAGCTTCATTCCCATGACATCCTCGTAGAACGCAAGCGACTTCTTGTGGTCCTTGACACGAATCATGGTGTGGTTCTGCAGGCTAAAATTAGTTTGAAGGACTTGCAGCTTTGAGACTTACTTACCATGCGGTACGTCTGGACGTCGGTCTCCTTGACGTTCTCGGTGGCCTCGAGCGGCTGCTGGCCGATAACCTCAACCTACGTCCGCGTATCAGCCTTCTGTCATGTATGCCCCTTGTGTAATCGGCCACCCACCCAGTATCCATCAGGATCAAGGGCGAAGGCAATGTGCCTCATGCGACCATCCGTCAATTTCTTCTGGAACTTGTAGCCCGCCTCCTCAAGCCTCTGGCAAGCAGCCTGGATGTTGTCGACCGAAATGCAGAGATGACCGAAGCCCTTGTGGGGCTCCGTGTTGCCGTTGGTGATGTTGTAATCGGGGTCATTTTCGGTGCCGTAGTTGTGTGTCAGCTCAACAATGCCCTCGCGGTCGGTCCAGTGGTTGCCGTGCGAGGCGGCCTTTGGGCTATCGTATGCGAGGAAGTAGAGGTCGAACTTCGCATCGGGGTTCTCGAGCTTGTTGATCAATTTCATGCCCAGGAACTCGTAAAACTGGACGGAGCGCTTGGGATCCTTGACTCGGATCCTGCAGAAGAGGTCATTATGGGCGGTGCGCACATGATTTTGGCGACGACGTACATGGAGTGGTTAAGCTTGTACTTGGTCGGATCGGTCGCCATTGTCGCGAATGCTTTGACGAAAGTGGGGGCCGATTTTGTGGTGAACAGAGGTCGAGACTGTCTGAAGGATCGCAGGAAGAGACGCGGGGTGGTGAGCATTGGCGGGGATTGCGAAAGAGAGGCGTCGAGGCAGCGCGGCAGAGCAATAAGTAATTGGCGACGGCAAGCTCGATAATGACGTGGGCGCGACTGCCCGTGTGCCCCTCTCTGGCCCCGCCATGGCCGCGCCGGTTGTCCGCGCTAACCCCGAGGCGCAGGCACCACGCTGAGGGCTGCACATGGTGGTGAAGATGCGCACTCCCGGCACGCGGCGGACAAGCAAAGACAGCATTGCCGCAGACCCTGCAGGAGTTTCGCGCGGCTTTAGCTTGGGCTGGTGGACACCTTGAGGGCCGCTGTCAACCGCTCGGCCAAAGCCACGTGATAAGGCTTCGCTTAGCCCGCTTTTAGCGCCCGAGCGATAACCTCGTGAACCCCAAGCTTTGGCCTATCAACCTCGTCACGACAGCCATGGCAGCTCTCCAAGTGAAGTGCCGCGCCCTGTCCTGACCCCGTCCACCATGCTCCGATCCCTTGCGCCAATCTCCACGCCGTCTCGCACCTGCATCCGCCGCGCTGTCCGCTGCACCCCGACTCTGATGTTGACGCCTCTCTCGCCTATCACCGCCGGACTCGACTTGCTGAGCAACACGACCTAGACCCCCCCGGAGAACACCACCGCCTCAGCCGCCTCTCGCTTGCCTGCCTATCAGCTCCACGCACGCCTTATCCGCCTGCTGCTTCCAGCCACGCCCTTTCGCTGAGTCTGTACGTCTTGGACGCGTCCTGCTTTCTCCCTGCTGCCCGGTTCTGCCCAACCTACCTACCCTGCTTTTCACCGCGCACGTCACTGAATAGCCGCCCGCGCTCGGCAGCTTTCCTGTGCCACCTCACTTAAGGCCGCAGCCGCCGTGTCACATTGTTTTCCGCCCTCTTGGCTCCACTTCAGTCCCTGCACGCATCTGCTGATCACGCCAAACTGCTTGTGTCGTTTGCGCCATCCCGCTCTCTGTGCTGATTCTTCTCCAATGTCCAGGCCAGGCCCACAGAGCAAGTCGCCCATCATGCTCAACGTCAAGAAACTCAGCGACCTGCTGGCCAAGAATGTGGACCCGAAGCTGTACCCGCGCATGTTGTGAGTGCCAGCGTGTACGCCTCTAGCGCCGCGCTAATGTAGCCGCAGCGTGATGTCGCCGAACGGAACGCTGCTTGCTTACTCAACCCCCGCCAACATCAAGGAGCTCAGAGACCAAGCTGCTCTGATTTCCATGGCTTGGAAAGAACACGAGCTCAACATCTATTCAGGGGCAGACGACGCCGATCATCAAGGCTCGTCGGCTCCACCGAAGCCACTGGAGACTCTCACCATCGAGTTCGACAACAATAATCTGATCGTACGCGCCATCCAGCCCAAACTCCTCCTGGTCCTGGTTGGAGGCGTCCCACCCGCCCGCAAGCACACCTTCAAGATTACTCCTGAAGCCCAAGGTGGCCCGCGCTACCCCACTGAAGTCTCTGGGCTTTCTGCTGGCCGCCACGACGGTGTCATTGAACCGTCGCAGTCTCCGCAAACATCAACCCAAGGACCGGACCTTGTTGGCTCTCCCGAAGCTCCATCTACTGCCTCCATCGCCGACAGCACTATGAGCCAAAGGGAAAAAGACACCAAACTCGGTGCTCTTCACATCCAGCGCAAGAAGTTGGATGCCATGACCAGATTCATCCGGCAGGATTTTGAGAGGAAGGGGTTCGTCATGCCTGATGATGTGAGCTTCCCATAACGGATACCCATCTCAAGTTTTTATTTCCTACTACTAGGTTACGGAATGTTGTACTGCGGAACCGGAACCACCTGGCTAGGGCTTCGGGGGATTGAGGGAAGCGACTTAGCATGCAGCGGCATATCTCTTGACGCGAGGCGTTGTGATTTAGCATTTCTTTGGATATCCCGGTCTGATGCTTTTCTTGTCCGCGGTAGCTGCTGCGGGATCTACTTTTCCAAGGTCCAGCTTTGTCCATGCGTATTGAGTTGCACTCGAGCATTTCAGCGGCATCCTGCATCATTCTCATTTGCATTTTGCTCATGTAGGTAGAGGGCCTTGTATCACCTCCGTGTAAGCGTGTTTTCGGATCCAAGCGGACCCTGATTACCTATGCCAGTGGTCTCAATGGCCGAAGGTTCAGATCCCTGCCCAGTACGAGCAACACGCGAAAAATGTATCGACATCGTTATGACGTCACGCCTTCCTTACGACATACCTAGGTGGGGTCCTTCATTGCTCTCCGCCTACCTTCCTCATTACTATTTACCCGCCTGCATCGCATTCGAAATCTCCCACTCCCATTGCTCTTGTGCCACGAGGCGTACCAGCTGACAGGCCACCCCTCAATTCGCGATTCCCCTCATTCTGACCGGCAAATCAATTCGCCTCCCTCGTCAGATCTCACCGGAACCTCTCGTCCTACAATTTCACAGGGATCATAAACCGAAAAGTTACACACGCCTCCCAGTTTCCATAAGACCACCCCAGTCATCCTCCGATCAAAACATGTTGCATCCCATCACCTCCACCGGCGCAGCCGCTGCCCGCCGCACCCTCCTGACCACCATGCCCTACCGCCTCCGCAGCACCTGCCCGCGCGGCACCCGCATCGCCACCATCCGCAATGCATCCAAGAAGACGGCAACAACCGCCCCCGCCATGGCCATGACGACGCCGACAAGCACCCGCCTCTTCCACCACTCGCGCACCCTCCTCGGCTCGACCAAAGAAGACCACATGGACCGCGAGCGGCTGAACCCGTCGAGCACCGAGTACAGCAAGTCGGGCTCGGACGACGACGCGGCCAAGATGGGCGACGCCGCGTTCAACCCGGACAAGACGTCGCCGGAGGCGGCGTTGGGATCGGCGGAGCAGGAGAGCGGCGAGGTGAGGCAAGACCAGGAACAGTCGCAGCCGCAGTCATCTTCTTCCTCTCAGGTTTGTGACGTTAAATTATTATTATTATTGCGCGACGGGAGGAGGAGGGGGGAGGAAGAGTCGTCGGACTTGGCGCCATCTCATCTCTAACCTTCCTCCCGTCCATCCACACCTTTGTTTTGTTTCGAGCCGCTGGAGAAGAGAGACTGCGCGCGCACGCGCACACGGTTTCGCAATTGAGTGTTCGCTGACTTGTACTTCTCCTACGATTAGGGAGCCAACCCATTGGACGTCAGCCCCGGCAACCCCGGCGTCAGCGAGAGCAAGGACCCGCAGCAGGGCGGCCCCGACCGCAGCCCTTCCGAGTCGGGAGAAGCGAGCTCGAGGGCCAGGACGAGCAGCAGGGTCAGCCCGAAGAAGCACGGCGACGGCAAGACTGGTTGAAAGGCGGGAAACGGGGAGAGTGAGAGAACTTATGGAATGACGGAAAAGCGACGGCGAAGATTTTCAGTTAGAGCATGATGAGTGTCTCTGCATTATGGCGTTATCGGAGGATGATGGGGAGCATCGAATCGAGCACCTGTATAGCTGGCATTCTTCTTGACCACCACCTCAATCAGGTTCCTGTCAGTCTTATCATCATCGATATAAATGTCCTCCATCCTACGTGCCACCGTACCGCAAATATCTCAGCTCGAAGCAGATGGTGCATGAATGACGATCGTTCATTTGGAAAGAACCCCCAAGTCCAATTCCCTCATTCCATCATATATCAGCTCTAATCATAACAACATACCCAGACACATTTTTCTCATCATCGACCCAATCCTCTTCTCGTGACCAGAATGAGGACTCCCTATGACCAGATAGAAGACGAAGAAGAAAGTCGCAAACACCAAAAACACTACCAACAGTTCAAGGCTACTTTCCTAAACCACATCCATCGTGCCCCCACCCAACACGCATAACAATAGCATCCCCCCCCCCAAAAAAAAAAAAAAAAAAAAGCTTTACTGCCGTTTACCTCCTGCCATAAACAGCATGCTCAGCGCGCCCACTGCTGCCACTCCCCTTCTTCCTCTCATAACCGCCCTGCCTCGCCGCGCTCCAATCCCTAACGTTCAGATCGCCCGCCGCCTCCTCCTGCACGTCGATCGCGCGACCCAGCACGCCCTTGAACGCGCCGGTACCGCTGAACTCCATGTCGTGCGTATCGACGGGATGCTCGTGCTCGGCGTCGCGCCTGAAGAGGTTCATGATGTCGCGCATGCTGAGCTTGTTGATGGCCTTGCCGCCCTCGATGGCGGCGTTGGCGAGCTTGCGCTTGGCCTCCTGCAGGTCGAGGATGCGCTCCTCGACGGTCTTGCGGACGGTGAGCTTGTAGACGACGACGTCGACGGTCTGGTTGAGGCGGTGGACGCGGTCGATGGCCTGCTCCTCGACGAAGGGGTTCCAGAAGGGCTCGAGGATGACGACGCGCGAGGCGGCGGTGAGGTTGAGCCCGAGCGAGCCGCACTTGAGGCTGCAGAGGAGGACGCGCGTGGCGCGGTCGTTGCGCAGCTTGTTGAGCGAGGCTTCGCGCAGGTCGTTGCGCATGCTGCCGTCGTAGCGCGTGAAGCGGTGGCCGGCGCTGCGGAGGAAGGGCTCGATGAGGTCCAGCATCGACGTGAACTGGCTGAAGACGATGACCTTGTGGTCCGGGGTTTCCTTGTCGAGGATGTCCAGCAGCCGGAGGATCTTGGTGGAGGGGACTGGGCCCTCGTCGTCGGACGAAGCTTCGTCGCTCTCCACTTCGGAATCTTCATCCTCGTCTTCTTCCTCGGACTCCAAGGCGGAATCCTCCGTTTGCTGTTCGCCTTCTGACGAAACGAGGTTGATGACCTTCTTCTTTGGCTTTTTTGAAGGCGTGTCGGGCTCGTCGTCTTCGGTCTCCGAATCTTCAGATCCCAGTGAGTCGCCGCCGCCTTCCGCATTCTCATCATCGGTGCCACCAGCTTTCCCCAGATCTTCACTCTCGCGTTGATCTTCTGGAACGAGCCACTCGCCTTCCTCATCTTCGTCATCGCTGTCGAGAACGACCCTCTTCTTCCGCATGAGCTTAGTTGGCTTCACAGGAGATTCGTCTTCGTCCTCGTCCTCGTCATCGTCATCGTCATCGTCATCGTCATCCTCATCCTCATCCTCATCCTCATCCTCGACAACCTCCTTCTTCGCCTTCGTCTTCGACACGTGCTTCTTCTTCTTGTGTCTCGATTTCTGAGCTGCAAGATCGGCGTCGCAGTCTGCGCATCTCACAGCACCGGCGGAAGCCTCGGCCTTTGAGAGCTCAATCTGGCAAACATCGCAATGCTTCGTCGCCACGCTGATGCCGCCGAACAAGTCCGCAAGGTCGTCCAGCTCCTTGGCCTCTTCTGCCCGGGGCTTCCTCGGAGTCTGCATCTCCTTGGGGATACCAGCGCCAGCGCCGTTGATGGCATCCTTGTCCTTGCCGACCTGACCGCCGACCAGCTCCGGATGGTTACAGGCCTGCCTCAGACGCAAAAGCAGAACCAAGGCGCCAATGTAATCGGCCTTCTCTCCCCCCATCATCTCGTTAAGACGACTTTGTGCTCGGTCTGCCAGGCGGTCGTAAAACTTGCGTTCATCTGGACTGAATTCGGCAACGACAGTCTCAACCTTACGACCCACGATCCTGAAACCTTCGCTCTTCTGACCCTCCGCGGTGGGCTTTCCACCGGGGTTGAGTGCACCCGCCTGCTTAAGTACATCCTTGGTCCTACGCTTCATGAAGGCCTTCAAGAAGACTTGGAGTCTCCGCATGGCAAGGTTTCCACGGCCGTTCTTCATTGGGCCAGCGATGTCATTTTTCCAACGGCTGAGCTCATCGTACGGCTTGATCCGGAGGAACCTGATCAAGCTTTGTAGCTCGTCGAGGTTGTTTTGCATGGGAGTGCCGGTCAAGCACCAGCGATAGTGCGACCTAAGAGCATAGGAAGCTTGGGTCATCTTTGCGTTTCGGTTCTTGATGCTGTGGGCCTCGTCAAGCATGACGCGGTACCAATGTACACCGTAACATCCAATCTTCGGGCCGTCAGGGCCATCTGAGCTAGCCGCATGTTCCGAAGCAAGGATCTGGTAGGTGGTGACGACGATGTCATACTTCTTCAGTTCATCGGCCCGCTTGGTGCGCGAAGGGCCGTGATGCACGAGAACCTTGAGCTTGTGAGAAGGCAGAACCTTCGTCTTGACCTCGCTCTCCCATTGCTTGATAAGCGCGAGGGGTGCGACAACCAATGTGCTCTTGCAGACAGTCGATGCGATTTTTTTCTTCTTGTCTTTGGGCTTCTCTTCGGAGGGTTCCTCGGGGTCCGGGCGGGGGTTGGTAAGAATGAGAGCGAGAGCCTGGATTGTCTTACCAAGACCCATGTCATCAGCCAGAATACCACCCTTGGGCAGGACTCCGTTTTTCTTGCGCTGGCCAACTTCCTTGTCCATCATCCACGAAACACCGTCGACTTGATGAGGGAGGAGCTTGACGGCCAAACCATCCACGCTGCCATCATCTTCTTCCTCGTCGTCTTCTGGCTCCGCTTCTTTCTCCTTCTCCGCGGCCTGCACCTCCAGCGCCTTCAACTTGTCGGCCAAGCTGGCGGCCTTCTCATCCGCGCTTTTCTTCGCCTGACTCCTCTTGCGTAGCCTGGTCTTGGGTTTGTCCTCTTCATCGTCGAAAGCGCCCTCCAACAGGTTCTTTATGTTTTCGCTTGCTTGGTTCGCATCGACATAGGCGAAGGGGTCTGCAGCGCCGAAGCGATCATCACGGATAGCAGCGTCGGGGTCAAACTCGTCGTCGTCGCTGCCGGTGAGGTCGATTGCAGATTTCTTCTTCTCTCCCGATAAGTTGAGGTGCTCGGGCATGCCGTTGATCGGCTGGAAACCTCCCACTGGGCGAGCGGAGGAGTAGATGGGCCGAGCCGTGGGAGCAACGGTCTGCGGCTTCGGAGCCGGCGGCTTAGGGATCTCGACGACATCCTGGTCCTGCTGTTGGCCAGGAAGGAACCCCCTAGTATTGGTCTTGTGAAACTCAGGACGCGAACCCCCCGGCTTGTGCTGGACAAAGAGGTTGGAGTACTTGTCCCGCTTCAGCGGGTTTCGCAGAGGACTGGCCTCGCCGAACTTGGGTCCCTCGTTGGGAACGCCGAACACCGGGCGCGCCGGTTGTTGCTGGCCAGGTGCCCTGGGTGGCTCCCTCTCGTTGACCATTGTAGCTTGTGACGTAGGCCGTGAAGTGTGGATGACGGGATCGGTGCGGTCGGGTTTTCGAATATTCCTCGAGTGGGATCCGGAGCAAGATGGCGCAATCGAATCGATTGGTTGATGCGGGCTGGGCTCGGCGCCTAACTCGCGCTCGTCAAACAGGGAGCTATCGTCTCCGAGGACCAGACCGCTGCCTGGGCTCTCGGGCGCCCAACGTTCTTGCAGTCCGCCCTGTGACGGATCTGTCTTTCCAACCTTGTCGGAAAAGAGAGTAAGGTGGCCCGATACTCCAGGCGAAGCTGGACTGTCGTGGACCTGTGTAGGCGGTGCTCTGGTGGCGGCGATGTGGCGAGAGAAGGAAGGGTTCGTTTGCGACGAGAGGTTATTGATAGGCCGAAATGCCCCGCGACGCGAATGTTTCCTGCTGTTGTTCATGAGGGTCAGAGCGCAGGGTAGATTGACAGGGTGCGGGAGAAACGAACGTTTGGGGTGCCCGGCGCTAAAGATTCGTGGGGTTGGGCGGGCGCAGCTTGGAGAGGGAAGGCGACTAAGAGGTGTTGATGGACCGGAAGTCTTACTGTCGGCGAGAGCGTTGCCCGGCAACCGCGCGTCATCACCTGCGCCCCACACACCCGGAGAACGCGTCGCCTCGTGAAAACGCGCTCGCTCCTACCGCTGGGCCATTCTCCCTGACGCGCCTCTCCACGGTTTCATCACTCTCCGCCATCTCCGGCCTTCCATTAGATCCCACAAGAAGCAGTCTCATCCTACACGCGCGTCATTAAGCCCATTATCAGAACCGTCATATATTTCAGAGCCACAATGGCTTCGCTTTCCCAGCTTGACTACAACTGCCTAATAAGCTAACCCTTCCAGGTTCTTCTGAACAGACGCCTCCAGGCTAGTGAACCCTGGCTGACCCATATCCTTCAAGAGCGCTTCGGCCCGGCTCCGCTGCTTGAATTCCGTGAGATCACGACCATGCATGAAGTCCTCAGGGAACTTGTGGTCGGGATAAGTCTTGCGCATCCACGCAAGGATGTCGTTGTACTGGTATGGCCCCGACACGCCGAAGATGCGCTCACTCTTGACATCTGGGTGAATGGCGCCTGCCACATGGAGCCACGCCGCGTCCTCGACATCGACGAAATGTTCTGTAGTCCCTGTTAGATGACAATACTGGCTGTGATTTCGGGACAACATACGCGGCACATGAGTCTTCAAGGGCTCGGTGTTTCCTGTCCAAAGCGCTCCGATCGAACCTGAAGTGGATGGGTGGCCCTGGTGCTTGACGGACAAGGCCTTTCCAAAGTTGAAGGACGGCAGAACTGATGTCGTGAGTCGGCGGGATCAATTCGCAGTGTGAGAGTGCAACTTACCGCAGTTCACAGTCAATCCTGGGTTCGTCTCCTTGACCCACTTCCACAAAGCCTGCTCAGACTGCGTCTTGCTCGCACCGTAGACGATGGCGCCTTGCTGTGGGGAGGCATCTGCGCCTTCTTTCCACGCATCCTTCACGGCATCTTCGTCCCAGGTGTTCTCATCCACTACCACCTTGGTATCTGCGATAGGCATGGTAGTCGACCAAGACGAAGAAGTGAGGACGAAGCGCTTGATGCTAGGCTCGCTAGCCGCCGCCTTGGCCGCGATAAGAGTTCCGTTGACGACCGGAGGAATCACATTCTGCGGATTGGTGTCCCAAGACAAGACCGAAGCGACATGAATGAATGCGGTGACTCCTGCGGAATATCAACGCCCGTCCATTCGCCACTTGAGTGTACTAGTCTTACCCTTCTTGGCCTCGTCGAACGCCCCCTCAGCCGCCATGTCTGGGACAGACACAAGCTCAAACTTGCCCTTGCCATACCTCTCATCGAAGAGCTCGCTCATCCACGCATTCTTCTTCGTGTCTCTGACCGTTCCACGGACCTTGTAGCCAATTTTCAGTAGCTTGTCAGCGACCTGCGAGCCGATCAGGCCATTTGCTCCAGTGACAAGGACGGTCGAGCCCTTGGGGATAGCCGGGTTATCAACGGGCGACATGATGCTAAAGTTTGATCAATCGAAGAAAAGGGCACGTTCAAGAGGCAGGAGATCAAGTACCCCGCTCACCTTATAAGTTTTCTTGGGCAGACCCTAGTTCGCCGGGAACGGTCAAACGGGACGGGTCCGATGTTGATCAACGCATCGAATGAAGCTTACGGATTCAACGTCATGGTGGGCCCGGCAAAGTCGTGGAGATCCGCATCCCTCCGTTTGGTCTAGGCCCCCCTTCCGAACCGTTGTCGACATCACACACCGCTCCTCCACAGCACCACCACGGTGCTCATGAGTTATGATATGCAAGAAACTCACATGCTTTCAGAACATCTCCAAGTGCTTATGCAGCTTCCGAGTTAAGCTTAGGGTGTTAGTTCCCATGCCGCCTCTTAGTGGTTGATCTTCCCTGAATGTGAGCTATAGCATTTGATCCTATGTGGGGTATCGAGCAACAGCATCCCACCCTTGGCTTGGTAAAAGCTAAATTTATAATACTCCGCTTAGTTCTCATCCAGTCTTCCGGTACTCACAAGTACAGCAGAAGTCAAGCTGATATTCGATCTCCTCGAATCTGATGCTGTACACAAAGCGCAGGAGTGGAGTAAGAGCAATGCTTACCCTACTCTGAGTCACAGAGTGGGTCCATCCGTGGTGTATTTTGTCTCAGAAGTCGCGGTATGTGCCTCTCGGTTTTCAGCGTGGGGTTAGCACAGCCCTACGAGATTACAAAATCTCAAACGACGATGATCTCAGCATACCTTTGGACGTCACTGCGAGCACGAAATCCATGGACGCCCAAGCGTGGGCTTTCCCCCGAGTCTTGACGAGTTTCCGCCGAGTCGTTGACATCCGGCCGTACCGGAATACGGAGATATCGCATTGTCAGACTCTCAGGGACTGTCTGAAGCCGCTGGGTAATACCAACGCGGGCATTGTGTGGAAATGATTGACATGGCCTTAGATGCAGGGCACTTGCAGTGGCGTGGCACGAAAGGCACATGGCTTCCATTTCTCCAGATCGACAGTTGGTGCCATAAGCTTAAACCAACGTGCTACCTGCATGCTTCCACCGAACGCAATACAATCTTCGCTGTCTTTTTTTTTTTTCGGCAATGCTTTGCAAGTCCAACACCCTTCGAAGGCCGCCACGTTGATATTACACGCGCTGGCTTGAGGATTCAAGGGATCTTACCGATAAGCGCTAAAGAAGCTACTTAGTAATGACCCTGCATGTTGATATCTACATCTACTAGCCGGTTAGAAAGCTTATGGTGTCGGACTCAGCAGTAGCTGCGTGTAAAGATAAGCTGCTGAGATTGGCTTATTGAGCACCGTCGACAAATCTTCGATAATGCATGTAACAAGACTAATCAAAGCAACCATCATCTCTAGAACAGTAGTGACTCCACATGATGGTCTTCAGTCATCGATTGACCTTATGGATCCCGAGCACCATGCTTATTTAATAACGCGCTAAGCATGTGAACGTTTCGTTCACCCATCATCAGAACCTTAGGTCTACCGCTAAATTGTTTACGGCAGCACAGCAGCCCCTTCTGCTTCGTGGATGTCTATCATAAGCCTATAAGCTGACTCAGTCTCAACACTCTACGGTCGGTACTCTGGTACTCTTTTGGGGGGTCCCTAGCCAAAACAATCGTACACGATTCTTATTTCGAAGTAGGTGATTGCAGCCATGTTCACTTTTCTGGCTGGGTGGACCGAGAAGGAGGTGCAGTTGTCGAGATTTTTCGAACATCAAGCCCCGTAAATGGTCTTCAAAGCCTGAAAATCAAGCATGTCATCGCTGAAAAATTGCATCCACCAACTCTTCCCGCATCCTTGCCTGAGATGCTGCATCTCAGAACTCCGTTTAGGGCGAGATATGAGTGGGCATCGGTATAGAAAGATCAGTTGCCATTTTGATTGCCAAGAAAAGCTGAATGGCGCAGCGGAAGCGGTAAGCAGTTCCCACTCAAGACATAAGTTCGAACAGACGACTAACAACCTTAATAGCGCCGGGCTCATAACCCGGAGGACAGTGGATCGAAACCACTTTCAGCTAAGAAAGTTTTTTTTTCTCCCTCTCCGCGAGAGAGCTGGCTCGCCACTCAGTAAAGCCGACCATATTCTCTCCCATGTGCTGTGTTCGATTCAAGATTCGGGCATGATGTATTCCCGTATCAATTTCGGCTGCTTGGCACGCCGAGATAAAGATTTCGTCGCGAACCAGATTGAATTTTTTTTCCATGACAGTCATTATTCATCCACCCTTTGGCTTCATCCTTTTGTCCTTCCTGGATGTCCTTCCTGGAGGGAGCTTCACGGATTGTCACCAGAACTACGCCGGGTAGCTGGTGCGTGTGGTCTAGACTGCTTTGCCCGACTGGTCGGCCAACCGGTCCTGGTGGTTCCGAACCTCAAACATATCAGTCCGAGCGATAGCCACACGCATCTGCAAACCTGCACAGTCACCGCAACATACAAGCATAGAAAGCAAAGGCCTTGAGCGCAGCATATGTACAGCTATATCCCAACCACCCGCCTGCAAACAACCAGCTATTCGGACGTCTCCCCTCAACAAAGGACGACTCATGCGCCGTTTTCTTCAACAACATCAATACTCCATCGCCTCCTCAAACAACCCCCTCAACTGCTCCCTCTCCCTCTCCACCTCGCTCATCTCCAAGCTCGGCGCCAGCATCAGCACGCGCGCCTGCGGAATGGTCCCCTCCACCAACGCATCGACGTCCCCCCTCGCGAACCCCAGCGCCTTCAGCCCGCGCGGCTGATCGCCCAAGCCGACGAGGAACTCGGCCAGCGCGTCCGCCAGCACCTCTCCCGCGTTCTCGCGCTTGACGTTGCTCACGTCGACGCCGAACGCCTCGGCGGCGGCGAGGTGGCGCTCGGGGTTGGAGGCGCCGGTGAAGCGGAAGACGGCGGGGGCGGTGACGGCGACGGAGACGCCGTGCGGGATGATGGGCGCGTCGACCTGGTAGCCGGCGTGGCGGTAGCCCGACGGGTTCTGGCCCGAGATGGGGTAGCTCATGCCGTGGCAGAGGTGCACGCCGGCGTTGCCGAAGCCGACGCCGGCGAGGGTGGCGGCCAGCAGCATCTGCTCCTGCGCCTCCCAGTCGTCCGGGTCGCGCACCGCGCGCGGGAGGTACTTGACCGTGCTGCGCAGCGCCTGGAGCGAGAAGATGTCGGAGATGGGGTTGGCGCCCTGGTACGCGGGCCGGTTGATCGGGTTCGACGGCCGCGGGACCCGCTCGTGGTACGGGATTGCGGTCCAGGATTCCAGCGCGTGGCAGAGCACGTCGAGGCCGGAGGAGGCGTGGACGGCTGACGGCATGGTGCGCGTGTTTATCGGGTCGCAGATGCCGAGGGTGGGCTTGAGGTTGCGGTGCGCGATGCCCGTCTTGGCCTTTTTGGAGACCAGATCGAAGATGGCGGTGCCGGTGGTTTCTGAACCGGTTCCGGCGGTCGTGGGGACGGCGATGAGGGGCTTCAGCTTGGAGGTGATGGGCTTGCCGCGGCCGAGCGGGGCGTTCACGAAGTCGAGGAAATCAGCCTCTGCACCCAAGGTTAGTACAAGCGGAGATGCTACGAGTAGGGGCGGGGAGACGCACCCGGGAAGGAAGTGTAAAGGTTCATGAGCTTTGCCGTGTCAATGACGGATCCGCCTCCTACCGCCAGGAAAGCATCGGCCTGATACGGCTTCGCGAACGCAATCGCCTCCTTTATCCTGCGCTCGATCAGCCCTCGTTCGCTACAAGCAGCGTGTTCCAATCTGCGCAGTAGACTCACGAGCTATCCTTAGGCTCCACCCTCGTCCCATCGAAGACTTCGAATGCGATGCCCTCCTTCTCCAAGCCCTCCTGGACCTGCTTCATGGCGTCCAGCTTCCGCACCGTCTTGTCCGTCACGACCATGACCTTCTTGGCGCCCATGTTGGTGAAGTCCATGCCCACCTCCTTGGTGCAACCCGGGCCGAAGCGAATTGAGCTTGCAGCCATCTCGAAAGCATACTCTTTCTGTTGCGACGTGTCAAGTGGGGTGGCGAAGCTGCGGCGGGCGCCGCCATTGTGACGCGCGCCGTACTGCTGCGCCGACGAGAGCAACTGGTGAGCCGAGGACGGGTGGTGGTGGTGATGAGCGGGGTTGCTGTGGCAGGGACAATTCGGCGGGTGCGTGTACTGGATGGTGCGCAGAAGGCTCGTAGCGCGGGCGGCACGCGTGGGTGCGATGCGGACGGCGGCCATGGTGGAGTGGGGAAGAGACAAGAACTGGCGCTACTGCTGTTGCTGCTGCTGCTGCTGCTGCTGCTACTGCTTGCAAGGCTCCCAATGAGAAGCAGTTGGACTGGGGAAGCAGCAAATTTCGGAGGATCAAGGCGGCAGGAGGTGCTGACGGCGGTGAAGAGCCATGGTGGAGTCGAGTACGGGTGGGATTTGAGGCCGAGGCATGGCGGCGGTGGTATGGCATTGACGGCGGGACATGGCCCCTGCAAGCTGGCTGCAATGCGGGGTCCTCGACAGCTGCCGCACAGCGGAGCTCCCCATAGCTCCGATTGGCCAATCGCCGCTCTCCGCCTGCTTCGCGATTGCGTCAGTCGCGCAGCTGGAGCCACAGAGCTCGGAGCTTGTCGACAAGGGCCGAAGCTTCTCTCCCTCGAACATTCAAGTCTTTTCAGCGCGACGCCATCTCACTGCAGCGCATCCAACTCGGCCATGCTTCGCCGTGCGCAAAACCATGTCGCTGTGGTACACCGTCCGGTTGGCTGGTCGGCACCGCATCTTACCGCTCGCAAGCCAAGACCGTCCAAGATGCAACCGTACCCGTCCTCTCCGCATTATTTAACCTTGAAGATTCCGTCACCGACAGCGACACCCTTTTTTGATAAACATGCTCTGGAAAACAAATCACCTTCACTTTTTTTTTCCGGCTTCCGAAATCGAGCAGCCAGCAGAGCGTCAAGGCGGTTGAAAGCTTCCCAAACTTTCGGAGATGCATCCAAGAATGAATCACCACGCAGTCGCAAAGCTTCTCGGCTGGCAAGGGAGGGCCATGGACTTTCTACCCAGCACACGCGCAGTAGATATCTGACCTGCCATTGTGCTGTAGCTGGGTCCTGAACACCACCGGAGCACCCCCTGGTACATCTTTAGACGAAAGGTGGATACCATCGCCTAGGTAGAAGGCCGCTTGGAGGGTACCACGAGAACATTCGTCTGCCACATCTCTTACATGACGAGAGCCATTTTCGGACGCTGTGCTACCATTGGCTGGTTGCTGAGGTCCATGCTCTGAACCCCGACATGCGCTTCAGGCCCAGGAGAATGGATGCGGTGCTGGAGGAGTGGAGCAGGCGAAGCGAAGCAAATTTCGCGCCGAACCCAAGACGAGAGGGGCTCCTGAGCACGGTGGGTTGGCATTCCGTTCCTGACTTCTCCATCTGATCAAGGCCGAGGCAGATCTCAGAGGACCGACAAAAACACTGGGGAAGATGCGCTTTCCGCCCGAGAATGCGTGGTCATTGGTAGACGGAACTTTCCATGACCACGAGATACCCGGCCAAGCGATCGTCCTGCGAGTATGGCGTTACGACGGCCTATCCGATGTCACACAGCAGCAAATGTTCATCAGGCAGCAGAGAAACCAATGTAAGCCAAGCATGCACTCCGCCCGGCGCGCGTCAGCACGGAAGATAGCGCTGTGGCGTCCGAGCGTCCAAGGGCCGCCGTAATATAGGGATGGGACACGCGTAACGGAGAGCATATGGGTGTGAGCGCTTCTCGTGCGAAGACGCTGATCAATCTGCGGCAAGATCGTCCCCTCCGGAGCGGCGACCCCGGGAGGACGGACACGGGAACGCATCACCCGCGGAATGCTCCAGCACCGTATATCGGCCAGGCAGGGGAAGCTACCGGAAAAGGAAGCAGGAACGAGCTGAGAGGCAAAAAGTCATGTGCGTCCAACAGTCGGCAAAACATGCGCAGCGACTAGGTTATAGTTTCACCGCCGATCACCGCGCCGCTCCAGGCCAGCCAAACAACCCACCTGGAGGACAGCCGGTGGTTTCGTCGCAACCAAGACAGCAGCCGCTGCTATATCGGCGGAGCTGGCGCCGCAGAGACCCGGACCCCCTGATGCATCGCGTAAGCATCCGGCGCAGCTAACACGGCCCCCGCAACGAAAAAAACACCAAGCCCCAGCTCCACACTGTCTGATTTACAGGCAGATCGATACGGCCGGCAAGTGCCGTCCAACGACGACTTGATGCTCCCGACCCAGACCCTGTACATCGGCTGTCCCCGCTCCCGAGCCCGGGCTTTCCGCATTCAAAATGCTTCCCTCCGCTGCCTGCAAAAAATCGCGGCAGGCGCAAATTCGTCCTCCGTCAGAACAAACCTCTCAGCATGGTTAAAGTTTCCGTGGCGGGCGGCTCTGGAAGTATGCCCGCCGCCAGCCCCACCCGCTGCTCTCTGCTCACTGCCCTCCAGACGTCGCTCGTGAAGTCATCGACCAGATACTGGCCCGCAACAAGCACGAGGTGACCATTCTTGAGCAGAGGGTAACGTTTTGCTGTCTGGTGTGGCAAGAGCCCTCGGCTGACCATCAGCAGCCCACGGAGAGCCCGTGCGCCGCGGACAAGAAGGGCATCAAGTGGATACACGTCGACTACTCCGACAAACCATCGCTGGCCCAGGTCTTGCGAGGGACCGACGTCGTTCTATGCTTCTTCACCGGACTGGACTATACAAGCGCCGTGAGAAACTCGAAGAACCTCATCGATGCATCCATCCAAGCAGGCGTCAAACGCTTTGCGCCGTCTGAGTGGGGAAGGTAAGCAGTCACGCTCGCGCCAAACCACGATAAGCTTCTGACACATGGGAGCATAGCCGGTTGAACTGGAGCATTCCTCACTACAGGTTCAAGGACGAGATCCGCGAATACCTCGAGGAGTGCAACAGTGGGAGGATCGTAAGTGCAAACGCCTTCCGCTCCGGAGCCCCGGGTTGACTCCAGACCAAGAGATTAGAATACACAATCTTCCAGCCCGGTCTCTTCACAAACTACTTTGGTTTCCCCTATTCCACGACCAAACACCTGTCCATGAGCCCATGGCTTGTCGACTTCGATAATCGCCGAGCCATCACCGTGGGCGCCGGCGACTTCTCACTCTGCCTCACAACCGTGCAGGACATGGCTTTTGTCGTCGCAGAGTCCCTTGAGTACGAAGGGAAATGGCCGGTAGACGGCGGGATTAGAGGGACACAAGTTACTATGGCAGAACTGATAAGGCTCGGCGAAAAGTTGAGAGGTAAGTCCGAGCCTTTCCAGCATCTCTCATCAACCCCCGTAATAATCCGACATGGTCCAGGTCCCATGAGAGTAGAAAGCGTATCGTTGGAAGATTTGAGAGAAGGCCAGCTCAAAACTTCGTGGTGCCCTTTGATCACGCATCCCTGCATCCCGGACGAGCACCGAGAGATTATCTCGCGGCATATCATGATCACCTTTCTGAGGTCCGTCGCGCAGGGAGCGTGGACCGTATCTGATGCTTGGAATAAACGGCTTCCCAATTACAAGTACACCAGTGCGGAGGACTATCTCACGCAAATATGGATGGGAAAGCCATGAACGTTCTCTTCTTCTCATCAGGGGTCGGGTATCCCTTACTTCTACAGGCAGCAAGCCCCAATGTAACCGAACTTTCGTTTCCTCGAAAGGCTGCGTCGCACAACTCACTTGCCTGCCTGAAGATTTGACGCGCCAAAGCCAAGACACCTGGTTCCGGAGACGCCGGAGACAGGGGCGAAAATCGGAAGCGTCAGGAACCCCATCGGGGCTATCTATTTGTGCCGTTTACGCCAACACGTGAAGGGTTCAGTGCCGTACCTTGGGTATGCTCGCTAGTCTCCTTTAAGCAACGAAGCTCTTGGAAGTAGAATACAAGAGACGCAAGTTTATGACAGCCACAAGCCTCAAAGCACGATAGTGATTGTTCCCAAGCCAAGGATACAAGAGATCTATTCCCCCCCTTCCATCAAGACTTGAGCCGACAGCATTCGACCATCCAGGCATGTTGTAACAAAGTCTTTCATTTCCCCCCCTCCGATTTCTGCCTCTCATTAATTTTCTTCTCAGTTTGCCAATGCCGCTTCCTCCCCTTCCGCAACTGCTCACAGGGGAAAAAAAAAAAGTCAGCCTTACTCACTCACGCACTCACTCACCCTCACAACTCAACAGCGCGGGCTCGACTGCCACTCCAAAAAAAAAAAAAGAAGAAAAAAACCACTCACACGCCCCAACGCCCCCTCCACCTCCTTCGCCGTCATCTTCATCGGCAACATCCCCCTCACCAGCGCCTCGAACCGCGCGAGTATCTCATCCGCCATCCCTTCATCCAGCCTCACGCCCGGGTTCGCCGCCACGACGTCCGTCCACCACCGGCCGTAGTCCAGATCCTCGATGCGGCCGCAGCGCCGCGGGTCCGGCACGTCGAGGTTGCCCGACGACGACGACGACGAGAGACGACGCTGCTTCTTCGCCTTGGCTTGGTGCGTCTCGAAGTGGGTGCGGAGGGTGGGGGAGGTGATCTGGATAGAGCCCTCGGCGTAGGGTGTAGTGTGAGTAAGATGATAGGTCGTGGGGGAGGATGAAGGATAAGAGAGGGAAGGAGGGGGAGGGGGAGGGTATGTTTGCGCAGGAAGTTGAGTCTACCTCGGCCAAGGCGTTCTTGTAGGCCGCCGAGTCTATGCTGTGGAAGCGCAGTTGCGCCTGCAGGTACGAGTCCGCAACGTCTTTGAACAAGTCGGGCTTCGTCCATGCTTCGGGGTTGGCTTTGTTCTTGTTGATGGCTGCGGCTGTGTACGACTTCAGGTTGAGTGTGCTGGCTGATGAGAAGGTTGGCATCTGGAAGAGTTTGCTTGAGATCATTTTGGGGGGCATGGTAGGCAGTCGAACAGTATCGAAAGAAAACAAGACCAGTCAAGGCAAGATCCAAGCCGCATCAAGACCTGAGGGTAAGAAGATAGGTAAAAAAAAAAAAATAAACCTCCACGGCTCGTACCTTTAAGTACCAGATAAGAAGCAAACACCCTTCAATCGCATCTGATGCTTGCATAATGCAACTGCCTGATGCTGTGCTACCACTTCCTGCTGATTGTTGACATATTTGGCCGTACCTACAGAAAACCGCAGGGGGCTGAGAAGCGAAGAAAGGATGGTAGCCGCCGCCTCGCCTGTACATCAAGGGTCAACGGCCTGCATACGGAGTCGTGAAATCTATGTCGTTCTTGGCCCGGTGTCACGAACGTAATGGAACGCACAAGTGGCCAGGCAGACATCATGAGATTCTGCCTTGAAGGAATGCTAAGAACGCTGCCTACGCCAAGCGCTAGAAACACACACCCCAGCTGGCGTGACATTTGCAGCTCCAAAAATCTCCAGAACGCCGGATAGATGCATCCGATCAAAATTACCACCCTACAAAACGCCAGCCCGATGCCTGAACGGGTATATAAAACTCAGAAGACATCGTCCATGACCACATCGCCCTGGGCCCCCGCAGCCGCAGCATGCGTAGCAAGCGGCGGGGCGTCCGTGACGTCCTTACTTGTGATCTCGTCTTGCACAAAGATGCCGAAGCCGGAGAATGCATCACACAGTGCGTGTGAGTAGTACTCCTGGATGTCGCAACCACCTGCCGCGTAGACAGGCTTCGAGTAGTAGTCATCCAACCAGTTCCAGTCGTAGCGGTCCTGAATGATGGCGTACTCGCGCGTCTCGGTATCTCCACCAAAGGCATCGAAGGGCTTCTCCACCTGGATGACCTTCTTCTTGAGACCTTTGATCTGGAACCCGCCGTCCAAGCCGCCGCCGCCAGGAGCACCGTTAGACGGCGTAGGTGCGGCCGCGCCGGCGGGAACGCGCGGACCGGAGGGCTGGATGCGGGTTTGACCAGCACGCTTGAGATGGACCTGGGCGATCTTCGAGGCGTCGCCCTGGCCGCTGGCGAGCTGGTTGATGACGTCCCTGCGGCCCTCCAGACGTTCGCGTTGCAGCTCCTGGTTCTCACGCAGAGCGGCCTCCCGGCGCAGCTTGGCCTGCTCCTTCTCCGCGGCCTGTTGTGCTTCCCACGCCGAGGCTTCCTGCATGGAGAGGACCTCGTTCTCCTTGATGGAGGCTTGGTTCGCCTCGGCATACTTTCTAAGCTTGGCCTCGGCCTGTTCGACGTTTATGCGATGGACGAGGTCGTAGGTGACGTCCTCGACGTCGTTGAGGTAGTCGTTGTAATCTTGTAGCGTCTCGAACTCGTCTTCGCGGCGATTGAAGCTACGGAGCATTGCGTAAGCAGCGCAGGTTCACCATCGCCAGCCTTCACGCGCGCATAGAGCACTTACACAGCTGCGACCCGCCGCCTGATGTCGACCTCGCGCTCGACCTGGATGTCCTCGAACGTCTTCTTCCGGAAGCGGTTCTTGCGCAGGGTCTTGCCGCAGCCGACGATCCTGCAGGGGGCGGGGCCGTGGGAGTAGATGCGGTCGACGCACGACTCGCACATCTGGTGGTAGCACTCCGGGTTGATGAGGAAGCGCATGTTGGGGTTGAGGTAGCGCGACGACTTGCACACGGGACAGATGTCTGGTACGGCGGGCTTCTCGTCAGTACTCTTGGTGGGCTCGAAACACAACGCTGCTTGAAGACGGGCGTGCAGTGGCTCACCGCCGTCCTCAACTGCCTGCGAGCCCTTCGCAGCCTGGGGCCCGCTCTCGCGGCGCGCTGCTCGGGACATGATAGAGGCGGTATTGAGGTGTTGTGTGGTTTAGGTTTGGGGCAGCGCGCCGATCGCCCGCAATGTAGCGGTCTGGGAAGCGCGCGCGTGGTCGACGTGGGATGTGCAGGGCGCGTGTCGGTGGAGCTGCTTGATTCAGCCCGAGTGGCGGCCCGTTGTCCGTGCTTTCAAAGCTGTCGGAGTCGGAGGTTTGCGGCGTTGATCACTGGCAACCACTTTTGCGATGCTGTCATCACAAGCGCAGGGTCTGCGGCCTGTTCCGCGCCCAGTTCCAAGCGCCTTCCGCTCGCGTCACTCTTTTCTTTGCAACCACCAGGCTACAACCTCACAACCAGCTCCGCCGCCCTCCGCCCTCCAATTCCTGCGAAGATGAGCGCGCAATCTCGCGACCAGCTGGACGACCTCGAGAGCCACCGTCTACGCCTCGAAGAGCAAATCGCGAGGCTGCGCAAATCGCTGCAGCACTGGCAAACATGGGACGCCGAGTACGAGGGATTGAAGGAGGAGATCCAGGGATTCAAGAAGACACCCGACGGGCCCGATCCCACCGCTGCGGACATGGTGCTTCTTGGCCGTAAATTCGGCGGCCAGCTAGTCGACGAGAAGGAAATCACCGAGCTGCTGGGCAAGGACTTGAACCGGAGCGCGAACCAGGTCATCGACTTGATTTCGCGGAGGCAGGAATACGTGCAGAAGAATGTGGACACTGTGCAGAAGCAAGTCGACGCTGCGGAGGACAAGCTGAACAAGGTCATCATCATCAGCGAACCGAGCCTGGCAGATGAGGAAGGAGGGCCGCTTATGGATATTCGAGAAGAGCTGGATGAGGAAGGAAATGTTCTCTCCAGTTCCATCTCCCAACCAGGACACCAAACGGCGCAGATCATGGACACTCTGAAAAAAGCTGGCATCGAGCTGCCTGAAGAGGGGGGCGAGGGTTCGTCCAAGGCCGAAGGAATATCTGATGCTGCCGAACCGACCACCGCTTCCGATCAATCAGGCTCAGAAGGAAAAAAGCAGGATAAAGGAAAGGCACCCGTACGGGCTGAAAGCTCATCACCGGCTGCCCCCCCACCACGTCGGAAGAAGTCCGTTGCCTTCGCTCCCGATACGAAAGCGCCCGCTGGTTCCTCTGGCGTTCCCGAGGCGAGCGGTTCAATCAGCGCACATATGAACTTCAAACCAGGCAGTCGTGTCGTTGAGCTGAACGACAAAGACGAGGTTGTCGGTGCTGAGGTCGCGGGCCCGCAAAACCCAGGCATTCAGAAGCCCGTGATCCCAGAGAACGAGTCTGAAGAGGATGCTCAAATGAGGCGTGAAATGCTGGAATATCATTTGAATGAGGTTGGCCACGTCGTCGCGGAGCTGAACCTGGACGAAGGCGGCAGCGACGACGACGAATACGACTATGAAGAAGAGGACTCTGACATTGAGGAGGTGGAAGAGGACGAGTGGGGCAGGAGCAGGCCCGTCATCACTGAGGAATACCTACAGAAGATGAGGGATCTAGAAAAGAAATTGGACGCCCAGATGATCGAGAACCTCGGTCCAGCACCCGAAGAGGCAGACCTGAACAATATGCTGCAACAAGCCCAAGGCGTGCACAAGCTCGTCGTCCGGACGGACGAGCAAATTCCTCCAGCGCTGCTTCCCAAGACATCAACCAAGACCAAGCAGTCCACCAAGCCTCAGGACAATGACAAGGCTGCAGAGCCTACCGCCGTCGAGACCGCTGCCACATCCAACTGCACCTCCCCATCCTCTTCAAAGGGCGTCCGCTTCGCCGACTCCGTCGACGTCTCACCGGCTCCCAAACCCGCCTCGGAACCTCTCCCTCCAATCTCCACCGAGCCCCGCCCCATCGCAGACGCCATCATCGAGCGCAGCACCGCCGTGTCCTCCGACACCACCCCTTCTACTCCTGTCCGCAAAGCCTCCCGCTTCAAAGCCGTGCGCGCCGCACTGCCCCAAACCCCCATCGCCTCTTCCTTCCCCACCACAACCTTACCAAACCAAGAACAAACCCCCTCGGAACCTTCAGCAACCGACCCCGCCCCCTCCACTCCCACCCGCAAACCCTCTCGCTTCAAAACCGCGCGCGCCGCGCTCCCCCAAACCCCTCTCGCTTCCTCGTTCCCCAAGGACGACGACGAAGAAGAAGAAGAAGAAAAAGAAGAAGAAGAACAAGAAAACTCCCGCCCCCACCACCGCCCCACCCCCACCCGCCCCCCCAACGCAACCCTCGCCCCCACCGTCATCGAGCGCGCCTCCGCCTCCTCCTCATCCCCCACACCCGTATCTGCACCTGACCCCGACGGCCTCGACCCCGCCACCCTCTCGCAGGAGGCGCTGACGGCGTACCACAAGCTGCGCGCCAAGATGATCCAGCGGCAGGACGGCGGCTTCGTGCGGCCGTCGCAGGAGGAGGAGGAGGAGGCGGCCGGCGCGGGCCCGCTCGTCGAGGAGCGCGAGGACGGGAGCGTGCGGCGGGTGAGCAGGTTCAGGGCGGCGAGGGTGAGGGCGGCGGAGCAGCAGCAGTAGGGGGGGGGACAGTAAAGAGGAAGGTGGGTGAGTGGGTGGTGGAGGTGAAGGGTGATTGCCGGACGGAACAAGGAAGGCTTGTTTTGCGGAAGGACAGGCGGGAAGGAAGGAAGGAGTTTTGTCAAAATCACGAGGGGAACCGACGTGATGGGTGTGAGCTCGGATGCAGCACAGCCGTTCTTCTGAAGTGGTTGTTGCTTTTGATTTTCTTTTTTTTCTTCTCCTTTTGGCCGGTGCATCGAGCGAGGCGAGGCCGTCAGTCTGTATTTTAACGCATGGGGCGTTTCCGCGGTATCACGAGAACAGACTCAGCTTGTAGACCTAATGGTTTTATTGGGATAAACAAAAATATCTAGACCTTGGAAAGGAAAGGGGGCAACCCTGAATCAACCAATTATCCCCCCCTCTCAACCACGCAAAGGGTGTTGAACCTCCGTCTGGCAAAAGAGACAATTATCCCGAGACAACAAGCAATTGAAAGGAACGAAGAATCGCGAGGAGCGCAATGAAAGAGTATAAGATGTTCAGTATGTATGTTTGAAAAGTAGGAGAGCGGAAAAAAGGAAGTTTTCCGTTCGAAAGGGTTCCGTATCGTACATCGACAGCGTTTTTCCATCATCTCGTCGCCTTCTCCGCCTTCAGCGCCGCGGATACCATGTTTGTTTTTCTGCAACGTGTCTGCCGAGCGGATGCGCCAAGACAGACGAACACTGAGAGACGTACTTCTCGTAGAAAACGAGGAAGTGAAAAGGGAGCCGAAGGAAAAGAAAATGGGAAAGCCCTGCCCACCACCTTGGAGTGACATCAAAATGACATTTACGAAAGGGAGGAAACAAATAGAATGATGCCTCGTAACCTTTCGCCAAAGTACCCATGAACGAACGCTTTCAACGTGAAAAAGAAAAGCCATCAGATCTTCTTCGCCAACCTACCCGTCCGATCCAACGCCGTCTTCTGACGTCGCATCACCTTACCAAGTACCCTTCTTCTTTTTGTTGGCGCGCTTCTTCCTCTTCTTCTTTTGCGTGCCGGACTCGCCGGGGATCACTTGGCTGTCGCCGGTGCCGCTATTAGGGTCTGCGTCGTTCTGATCGTTTTGGCCGTCCGTGGCCGCGGATTTGGCCTCACGCTCGGGCTTTTTACTTGAGCTAGACGGGACATTGACAAAGCCGCTGTGGCCACTGCTGCTTCCCCAGTTTTTGTGCGACGAACCGTGTGAGTGGCTGGAACCCTTGCGCTCGTTTTCGTCGTCGGAGCTGCTCGAAACATCGAGAACCATCTTCTTGACACCGTTCACATCGATGACGTTTTCCGATATCGAACCCGACCTAACAGCAGACTTTCCGACGTGCGGGGAGCGGGGAGCGGATCCGCTGTGTATCGAACCAACGGTGCTGGAACTGTTTGATCTCTGCTCGCCAAAGGGACGGTTGTCGACAACAATCTTTGCCTTTTTGGACGAGTTGCTTGCGTTGTCTTTCGAGGACTTCTTGGACAAGGGGCGGTCGGAAGGACGTTCGGAGTCAGCAGGCGGCGCATTGTTTCCAATAGCACCATAAGTCGTAGCGACAGCATGAGCACCATCCTTGGCATTGCTGCCACTGTTGGCGAGAACACCTTCACCAATGCCGCCTTGGAGAGCGGTCGGTCCGACCTTAAGGTGGGCGTCCGTTTCCGCAGGAGCAGTCGCGCTCTTTCCAATTCCATTCTCGACGTTGGCTTCGGGGATCGTGCCGACACTCGGTTTGATCTTCACAGTGCTGATACGGGTAGACCGGGGGTTGCTAGCAGCATTTGACGGTCCAAGGTGCTTGAGGTGCTCCCTCAACTCAGAAGAAGTACCATCCCGAAGTCCAAGTGGCTTTGCTTTTCCGGCCGAAACGTGACCGCTGCTGCTGCGACGCATCAAGAACTTGACCTGAGGGCTGGTCCCAAACACGCGGCTGCTGTCGGTGCTCTTCCGGCGAGACTCTGATAGTAAACCAGTGGTCTCATCGGCATCAAGCTCCTCGGGACGCTCAGCAACGACTTCGCCCTTGGGGACGCGGTTGCGGGGAGAAGGGGTAATGCGGCGAATAGCTTTGTGAACATCAATGAAGACGTCAGACTCGTCGATGATTTCCCTAGAGCATTGTTAGCGCCTGACTGCAGGTTTTTTCCTTGTTTGGTGCAACACTCACTCTCCAATCAGCTCCTCGATGACATCCTCCAGAGTGATGACACCAAGAGCACCATACGATTCGCCTGGGAAGTCGGAAACAAGAACCATGTGGGACTTGCCCTCCTGGAAGAAGTTGACAATGTCGAGGCAACTAGTCTCGGGACGGGTCTCAGGAAGAGTGGCCAGGGAGAAGTCGCGGACTTGCTTGCAGTCCTCGGGATCGTAAGTGATCAGCAGCTTGACTAGGAGCATGCCAACGAAGTTACGCGGGTTGTCAGGCTGGTAAATGGGGATTCTGGAGTAGCCAGCTGAGAGAATGTTGTCCATCATCTTCTCATCAAGCACGGTATCGGCCGACATGGTGAATACGTCGTTCATCGGGGTCATGATGCTTCCGACGGGCTTCTCCTTAAGATCCAGCACAGCGCTGATGATTGTAACCTCATCCTGGTTCAAGCGTTCCTCGGGGCTCTCTCCAAGGGTTTTGTGCAGGGTGACCAAGGTCTTGAGACCAGCCTTCTTGTACGTTGTTCCGTGATCCTCTCCCAGGAGGTAGTCCAGCAACTTCGCGGTGGGCCACGCGACGGGACACATGATCCACATAAGGGCGAGCACGATGGGTGACATCCAGGCTCCAATTGGCAGGCCATAGCGGACGCAGATACTCTGGGGAACGACCTCGCCGAAAATAACTGTCACGGAGCTGTCAGTGGCGGATCAATGGACGGAAGGGGGCGTCTAAAATTCGAAATGACGCATCATGAAGTCATACCAATCAGGACGGTACTGCTGACGACAGCAGGCCAACCTCCACCGAGCGATCTGTCGAGAACAATGGGCAGCGTCTCGTTCGTGATGACGTTGCTGAGCAGCAGTGTGACCAGGACCCAGTGCTTGCCCTTCTTGAGCAGACGGAGCACACGTGCGGCATTTTTGCGCTCGGCACCGTCGCCGGAGGCAGCGAGAACTTGGAGGTAGATTTCGTCCTGGCCCATGAGGCTGGATTGAGACAGTGGTCAGTGGCGGTACGACGTGAAATGGCGGGGGTGTGCGACGCTCGGGAAGACTTACGCGATGGTCAGACCGGCGAAGACGCCTCCAAGCAGGACCAGGGCGACGGCAACGCTCAGGTAGATCCAGAGGCTGGCGTCGGCGGGGTCCTTGGGCAGGTCCTCGTCGGCGAGGACGGCGACGGGGACATGCTTCCTCAGCGGGGCGGCATGGCCGACGGCGGACAGCAGCAGGCCAGCCGAGAGCAGGGCGATGGGTCTCACTCGGGCGAGGCCATTGGGAGCAAAAGGGCCACTGGCAAGGGCCCTTGCAAAAACAAGAGACATTGGCAAGCCGGCAAAAGGGCTGAGAGGGTGGTGTCGCGGGGAGCAACGTGGTGGAGGCGAAGCTTGGGATGGCAGAGGTGGGTGTTTTGAAGTGCTCTCGGAGGGTCGCAGGCGGCGCGCAGGCCAAACTGGGGCCCGGGCGTTTCAAGCGCACGTATGGCGGTCAACGGGCTTCGGCACCACTCTTTTGCTCAAGCAGCCACACAGAGCAGTCCACGCGCGCGCATCCACTTGGTGTTGGGTCCTGGGCGTGTCGGTCAGAACTCGCAGGGCTGATGTGCAGTCGTCGCGACGAAGAGTCTTCGGGCTCGCCGGGCGCGTCCCGCAGGAGCCGGCAAGTCAGTGGGCGCTGACGGTGCCGGCCGCCGTCTGCGAACCCATGCGCAATGCGGCAAGTGAGCTGGGGGGGCTGCTGGGGGCTGCCCACTAGAGCCAGCCCTCCGCAGCGCCGTGCAGCCCGTCCAAGAGCTGCCCTCACTGGCGCTGTGGTTCCTGCGTGCCTCGCCCTATGCCGCCGCTAGCCGCCCGCACCCACGTAAATAGTATACCAACCCCGTCTCTTCCCCGGATTCTTGTTGCGCCTCCGCATCTGTCAAACCCGCCCGTGTTGTCATGAAGTCTCGAGTATCACCGTCGCCACGGCGTCTTGTCGCCCGTCTGGCCGGCCCGCGCGCTCCAATCTATGTCCGACGGCCCTACTCCACACATCCTCCGAACGCCCGCCTCAACCTGCCCATCGACTACGCCACCACCCCGCTGCTCGCTCACACCCCCAAATCGAGTCTATCAAACCCCGAGCTGCCCCAGCACGTCCGCGACTCGAAGACCACGCGCCAGAACGTATTCCAGGCCGTCAACTCCGCCCTGCGCCATGCCCTGACTACCGACGACCGCGTGCTCGTATTCGGCGAGGACGTAGCCTTTGGCGGTGTCTTCCGATGCTCTATGGGGTTAGCCAACGATTTCGGCTCCGAAAGAGTCTTCAACACTCCACTCAGCGAGCAGGGAATCGTCGGCTTCGCCATTGGCGCCGCGCTGGAAGGGATGAAGCCGGTGGCCGAGATCCAGTTCGCCGACTACGTCTACCCGGCCTTCGATCAACTTGTGAACGAGGCGGCCAAGGTAAGATACAGGGCGGGGACAACGGACATGCATGCGGGGGGGCTGGTCGTGCGAATGCCCATGGGGGGTGTAGGGCACGGTGCATTGTGAGTCCCTGGCTGGCTGGCTGGCTGGCTGCCGTACTGGCCTTGTGACATGTTAACCTTTGTTTCAGATATCACTCTCAGTCACCCGAGTCTCTCTTCACACATATCCCTGGACTGCGCGTGGTGGTTCCACGCTCGCCGATTCAGGCCAAAGGCTTACTTCTAGCATCTATCGCGTGCAACGACCCCGTCGTGTTTATGGAGCCCAAGATTCTCTACCGGGCAGCTGTGGAACAAGTCCCTAATGAAGCATACACCCTACCCTTGTCGAAAGCGGAGGTCCTGAAAGAAGGAAAAGATGTGACCATTGTCTCCTATGGCACCCCTTTGTACAACTGCTCTACCGCCATCGCTGCCGCTGAGAAGGACTTTGGCGTCAGCATTGAGCTGATTGATTTGAGGACCATTTATCCCTGGGACCGGCCGACCATCTTGAGCAGCGTGAACAAGACTGGAAGGGCCATCGTCGTGCATGAGAGTATGATAAACTCTGGTGTCGGCGCTGAGGTCGCAGCAACAATCCAAGAAGGTGCATTCTTGAGACTGGAAGCACCTGTGCAGCGTGTTGCGGGGTGGAGTACGCATATGGGCTTGTTATACGAGAAGTTTAACGTTCCTGATGTCGTCCGTAAGTTCAACCGCATCCAGCCTGAATGCAAAATGCTAACTGATTAGGGATATACGATGCGATCCGCAAAGTTGTTGAATACTAGTCATATGTAAGGAGATTATACGTTGCCTGTAAATTTTGCATACATAAGCGGAAGGTCGCATCACCCTATCAGAGCCTCATCAGCGTTCGTTTTAGCCGAAGATCTCATGCCATGACATCATTCTCCATGAAAACGAGAGTTTGATGTACGTGGTTACAAACACCAAGCCTACCTCTGGAAATTCTATATAGTCGCCAATTTAAGACTAGACGTAGAAGTCAAATCACAGAAGAAAGTTGCAAGTTGCCTGAAAGTCACAGTAAGGCTTTCCTTCATGCAGATATCCGGACGTATGTTTATAACTCTATCAAGATATCTGCATGTGACTGCCTGCTCATAACAGTATCGTCCTGAAAAGCTACCGAGCACCCGCAGTCCTCTACCCCAACCACACCTCACAAAACGACTCCTACACGATGCCCAGCCCCCCCTCAAATAGTCCCTCACTCCACCCTCACAACCCCCTCCATGACCTCCACCGCACTCCCCGTCAACACCACCTCCTCCACCGCCCCGCCATCCTCAGTCCTCACCACCCTCACAAAAACATCGCACCTCCTCCCCATCTCCACGCCCTGCACGAGATGAAACTCAAACGGGCCCCTCCCCTTCCCCTTGTCTTCCCTCAGCGCCAAATAACAGCACAGCGCCGCGCTCGCGCTCCCCGTCCCGGGGTCCTCCCTCGTGCCGATGGACCGCGTGCGCAGCAGCCGGCGGCCGCGCTGGTCGTCGTAGTCGAGGCCGAGGTCGACGTAGTAAAACGAGCCCGTGAAGCCGACGTCCCAGCCGCTGCCGGCATCCAGCCACTTGGCCTGGTACGCGTCGGCGACGGGGACGAGCGAGGCGTCGACGGCGGCGAGGGCCTCGAGCGTGGGGAGGGGCACGAGGCAGAAGGCCATGCCGCGGACGATGGAGACGATGGGGACGGTGGGGGGAGATGAGGAGGAGGTGAGGGACTGGGGGTGGGGGGGACGGAAGGAGTGCTCGTGGACGGCGTGGGGGAGGTGGACGGAGGCGGTGGCGGTGGAGGGGTTGTAGGCGAGGGGGATGGTGCCGGCGAGGGTGCGCAGGGAGTGGGTGGAGGGGAAGAGCGGGCGCCCGGTGGTGGAGACGAAGATGGCGGTGCCGATTGTGGGGTCTGCGGGTGTTGTTGGTCAGTTTTGCGGTAAGAGATCAGGCGGGGGAGGGAGGACGTCGCTGGCGTGGGGGCTGTTTTTGGTTGGCTGGTTTCTAGGTAGTCGTGGACTTACGGCCGGCGAAGGTCATGCGCGAGCGCGCGGTGAAGATGTCGTAGTCGGCGACTGCGCCATTGTCGCCTTCAGATGCTTCATGCAGGAAGGTGATTTCGGAAAGGTTGAATTCGGTTGCGATTTTTTGTTTTTGCTCCTCAGTGAGCGCATCGCGGCAAGAGGCGGGCACCCGGACCACGGCGACAGGGTTGCCACTGAAGGGCGTCGTGGTAAACACGTCGAGAGTGGTGAAAGGCAGCTTCATGGTGGCTTTTCGAGGTCCGATTCCGCTAGAGTTGACGTTCGATGTTGGAGCTATATGCAGGTGTCAGACGACAGCTAATATAGCCTACTGCATGCATGACTCACCTTTGTACTCGAGCGCGTCCCTTTGTAAGCAACGTAGAGTCATTTTCATCCTGTCTAGATAGGAAGGTGCGTCCTGAGAGAATTCCACAACGCACGTAGGATTAGAACGATGACAAACAACAATTAGGCTCGTCTTCCCGATAAATCTAAGGATTGATGAAGTGGTTGGAAAATGTATGGAAAAAAAACATAAAGGCATGTGGAATGGTCTTTTAGATCCCCGGTGACGTTATCTATCAACACTAGATGGGCCAAGTTGGAAAACACGGAAAGGCAGGGTTATCTCTTAGAAGGTGGGAATCAGCCGTGTCCATTCTCGGTCCTCCAGCATGAGCTTGAAGTACTGGGACTTCCGGACGATTTCCGATACATTGAATCGGCGCAGAGCACCGCCCGGACCGCAGTGCTTCTTAATGATCTTCAAGTACACCGTATACCTGGGGTTGGCTGCCTATCCATTAGCATAACTTCTTCGTGGGCATTGTAGGATTGGCTCACGGAATTCCATGGCTGTATACTTTGCCAGGGCTTCCATGAGAGCCAGGCACTCCCAGTCAGTCCACTCGACCCCCTCATCATCTAAGTTCTGCCTCCGCAACGGGTTCCGCGCATGATGAAACATGACAACCCTATCAAAGGGCTGGCCATTGACGTCAAGGTCTCGAATGACCTCTGGCTCGTGGGCCGACGGGAGTGGAACAAAATCAAGGTGATGCCACCGACGAACATCTGGCTCGACTTCTTTGCGGGCGATGTGTAGTCCTCCCCAATCCTCCAAGAATGCTCTCTCCTGTGCCTTCTCTTCGGCTTCTTGCTGACGTCGAAGATTGGCCCGTTCGAGACGTCTTTGCTCAGCGCGCAAAGCTTTGTTCCGCTCCTCCTGTTCATTTTGTCGCGCGACGAGCTGGACTAGTCGATGATGGAGCGTCTTGAGGGGAGCAATGAAGTTATGTCGAGTCGGCCTAACAATGGAGAGATGAGTCGGTACTTGCACGTTGCTCTCCCGGGCGCTCTTCTTGGCTCGCGTATCAAGGTTAATAATTGCAGCCATGACTCCAGCGACCTCCGTCAGCTGGGACGTGGGGATCTTGTCCGGAGGGCCGTCTTTTGTGAGAAAATTTACGTAAAAATTGACGATGCTGCAAAGAGTCTCCAATAGGCACGGAAAGATGAATGCGTAAAGATCTTGGAAAAGAAACTTTTTGATCTCCTCTCCATTTGCCAAGTCGAACTTACTAAGCTTCCTTGCAAGGCTTCTTATGCCTTCGCTCACTTGTACAGACTCTATCTCAATCGAGACAGTCGATGTTTCCAGGATGCCCTTAAGCTCCTTCTGAAGGTCGTGACAGATGCGGTTGATGAACTTGGTGGATTCGTTGTTTTCTTTGAGTTCGTATTCGTCCCGCTTTTCCAGAACCTTCTTCACTCCTTTTTTATTGGCCTTAATGCGTCGCAATCGCCTTTGGAGACCATGAAGCATATCAGAATCATCGTTGGATTCATCGTCGCTAGAGCATGATTCCGTTGTCGAATTCGCAGCGTGTCTATCCGAAGGAGCGTCGCTCATTTGCCCATCGTCAAGCGGAGCTTCTTGGACATTCGCCACCTTGGCTTGCATTCGTGACAATTTTTCTGTTGCGGTTTGTGCTTTTCTGGGAGTCGATTTGGACGTCTGGGAGTTCGAAGGCGTTGTAGCCATGCTGCTCTTTCGTTTGATGCGTTTGTCGCCCTCTTTTGACGCCCCAGCTTCTTCGTTTTGGCGTTTAATTATGATTCGAGCGGCCGTCGGGTCCTTCCTTGGACGGCCTGGCTTTCGTTTTTTTGGCGCCTCAGAGACTGTAGTGGCCGACGGCACTGCTTCATTTTCTTTGGGCTCTGATGCTTTCTGTGCCCTCGTGGTTGATCTTAGGTGACGTGCGTTGGATTCTCCCGCATGTTCATGCTGGGCTTCGGACTGAAGCGATACAGGCGTGGGACTGGAAGGAGGGAAGTCCGCAGGTAGTTCGTACACGTCCGGACGAGCTGGTCCCCTGCTACGATGTGGTGTGGATGTCGCTCTGTAGCCTTCTCTTGAAGCTGCTCGTCTCGCAGGTCTGCTAGGGAGAGGCGCTGGACGGCGACTGTGTGCTATGAGGGTGGAATTTAGTAAAGCTGCTTGTTCCTCGTCTGTCCGTTTATGGCTGCTTGTCGGGGTCGGATTGGTATCCGCTTCGCGCAGAAGCTGCGAATTCGGGTCGTCTTCGGTGTCTTCGTGCATTGGCTCGGAATTGACGGCATTATCATTTTCGCCATCAACACTGCTCGAGCCGGGAGAGTCTTGTGCCGTATATGTAATGCCGTCGAGGAAGTCGGGCTTCAAAACTTCGTTATCGGAGTCGTGCTAAGAGAGACGCCGATCAGGTTCATCGTTCGAGCTGTCGGAAAGCAATATAATGCTCACGTCTCGAGCGGGTGCGCCTGAAAAGCGAGCCATTGCGCTTGTTTTCTTGTCTGCTTACTTGTTGCAACACTGCGGCTGGAAAGTTGTTCCGGCAGGTTGTCGTTGTTCATGGTGAGAGTTTAAAGCTGTGGAGTGGGATAGGTGCCTGACCTACGCGCGGGTCCCGGTGCGACGTATTCCCGCGGTACCTCCTGCCCGGAAAGCGGAATTGATCGTTTACAATAACACTCACGATAAGTTGCACTCAGTCTATGAGAAAAAAAAATTAAAGCTACTATCTGGATAGTTTCTAAATTCTCAAAGTAAATTTCGGTCCAGCTAATCGCGCCAAGCATCATGCAAGAGCAAATGAAGAAACGGCGATAACGGTTGGCATTCGTCGCGCGTAGATTCGTGGGTGGAAGCAACGAAGCTGAGAGAACCAGAGCCCGCATTTTGTGGAAGCTGCTTGTTGCGGCAGGAAACAGCACCCAAGGTGGTGGGGGCAGCGACGGGCACGCTTGCTTGTTGACCCGGTCGCTCCTGCACCGCATAAGCACTGAGCGCCCCAGCGGCCATCAGGCTGAGACGTGTCGGCGACGCGTCATCCACCAACTTCTTTGCCTATTACACTTTCTCGATTGTCCGCCATGGTCCAGCCTCGGCGAGCGGCAGACCCTGACGAGACTCTACAGCCGGAGCTTGGGCCACGTCGCGCTCGCACGTGAGATGAGACCCACCTATTTCATCACCGGTTTCAGGCGTCGCAGGTACACAACCACCAACACCAGCACCATGGCCGACCTTAAACAAGCCATCCGATCTCTGCAGCAGATCGACTTGGATGCCCCTCATGAGTTTGCATTGCCCAAGAAGCAGATCAACGACGGCGAAGACGTCGGCTTCTTTCTCACCTCCACGGGCTACGCCGACATCATGACGTGGCTGCTGCAGCTGAATGCCGCCATGTTTCCCAAGAAAACCGCTTCTTCGTACGAAGCCTGGCCGCTCAACAGTGAGGCTGTCAAGTTCTCGGGCCCGGTGCTGAGACTGAAGGCTTTGATGGAGAAACTCGAAGCTATCATGGATGAGGCGCCTCCGGACCCCGGTCCACGGAGATTTGGCAACATCAGTTTCAGGAAATGGTTTGAGATTGTTGAATCTCGTTTGCCCAAATTGCTGGACGACGCCATTTCCTCAGACGTCCTGACCAAGAAAGGCAACGCAACTTCTGCAAAGGACGAGCTTCAGGCCTACCTCGTTGGAAGCTTTGGCAGTGCTCAAAGACTGGACTATGGAACGGGCCACGAGCTGAGCTTCTTGGCCTTTCTGGGTGGTATTTGGAAGCTAGGCGGCTTCGCAAAGAGCGATCCTGGTGTTGAAGAGCGAGGAATCGTTCTCGGTGTCATCGAGCCGTGAGTGCGTTAAATGAGCATGCGCCGCCCTTTGCTGATTGTGGCCAGATACTTGCATCTCATTCGCCGACTCATCTTGACGTACACGCTCGAGCCAGCTGGATCGCACGGAGTCTGGGGCCTGGACGACCACTCGTTCGTCCCGTATATTTTTGGCTCCGCCCAGCTATCGCCTCCTATCCAGTCGGCAGCAGACATCCCTGGGGAGGGCTCATTGCTTGACGCCCCCAACCCAGGCGATGTGGCAAAGAAGAACGCAGTCGAACGAGAGCGTTCGGTTAACATGTATTTCAGCGCGATTGGCTTCATCTATGACGTGAAGAAGGGGCCTTTCTGGGAGCACAGCCCCATTTTGTTCGACATTTCTGGAGTACGAGCCGGCTGGGCGAAGATCAACAAGGTATGACTCTAATTTCAATCTTCCCGGCCCCAACATTGACACCTTGCACAGGGAATGCTGAAGATGTACAACGCCGAGGTTCTTTCCAAATTCCCCGTGGTACAGCACTTCCCCTTCGGTTCACTGTTTCGCTGGGAGAAAGACCCGACGGCAGCAGAGCCTCCAAAGTCTATTCATACAACAAGCCAGCCCGGGAGGACGCCCGTGGGCGGCGCGTCCGACGGCCCTCAGCGCTTCCCACAGCAGACAGGTACTGCTGCTCCATGGGCATCTAACCCGGCGACCGGCTTGCCTATGACGGCTGCTCCGTGGGCTGCGAGGCCGTCAGGGGGGGCGGGCCGGCCAGCCCCGCCAGGGATGACGCAAATGGGGGCGATGCCGGGAGGCGCGCCGGTTACAGCAGCACCGTGGAAGCAGACCGCACCACCGCAACCCGGCGATCGAGGACAAATGCCGCAGACGCAAGCACCATGGGCGCGGAAAGATCCTTCATGAGGGGAAATTGGTCTTGGTATTTGTATGAGCTCTCGGGGGCCTCGGGGATGGCATGAATCGGGGCTCGGCATTACTTTGCGCTGCGCGGCGCGGCGTTGTTGCTGGCAGAGTAGCAGATTTATTACCCCGAATCTCGGCACGACCAGCGGCGGAAATTGAACGGTAGCGGACGATGCCCCTATCGCGGCGGAGGCGGGCATCGGCGCACGGAGAGCACGTTGCTGGGCGCGCGCGCAAGGCAGATAAAGTTATTGATTTCGCGCACAGCCGAGCAATCAGCGCAAGTGAGCGGCGCTTGGACCAAAAATAGCTTGAAACCCTGAAACGGCCTTGGCGCGTCTTTGAATCTGGGGCTGAGCAAGCTGCATCCTTGCGCGAGCGCTTTGAGCTCCTGGAGTCTCACGACCTCTTCCACTCCACGACCGCCCGCCGACCGCTTCGCTCCTTTGGGCCATCGCTCCTTCAAAACCCGGACGCCTCCCGCCCAAGCCTCCCGAGTGCATCCTCTCCCCAAACACTTTCCCATCACCCACCTGCTGCTGTTGAGCATCTGCTCGATAGCCCACTACCGCCGTCATGCCTGGAGTCCGTGAGTAGTCCCCGCTGCATCCCACGCCCAGTCGACGAGCGCCGTCGTCAAGACTGCGCGCCAACCCCGCCAGCGCCGCGATTCATGCTGACCCATCCTCTGCAGCCCCTGATGCGATGGCCACCGTGAAGAAGGCCTTCAAGAACATGTTCAAGAAGAAGAAGGCCGCGAAGAAGAACGACGACAAGCCGAGCGCCGACGCTGCGAAGCCCGCCGACCAGGCTGCAACCGCGACCGACGCCGGCAAGCCGACCGAGACAACACCCGCGGCCCCCGCGCCCGCCGCTGCCCCGGCCTCCGGCGCCGCTGTTGCTGCTGGTGCAGTTGCTGCCGCTCCTGTTGCTGCTGCGGACACTGCCGACGCGAAGAAACCGGAGGAATCCAAACCGGAGGAGCCCAAGCCGGCCGAGGCGCCTGCCCCGGAGGGTGAGGCCGCCAAGAAGGAGGAACAAGTTCCGGAGCCCACCGGTGCCGGTGAGTTTCCCGCGCATGACCCGCGCTTGCAGCCCGTGTGCACTACGGTAAAAAGCCGCCCTGATGCTAACAAGTGTACCATTATTACCAGCGGAACCTGCGCCGTCCGAGAGTGCCGCTGCGCCGGCGCCCTCCGCTACTGCTACGGCAGACGACACTGCCGCCGCGAAGCCCGCTGCCGAGGGCATGTCTGCCACCAGCGGCCCCCTCGACGAGTATCCTATCCTCGACGCTGCGCCTGCCGCTGAGAAGAAGGATGAGGCTAAGACCGAAGAGCCTGCGAAGACCGAGGAGACCAAGCCTGAGGCTGCTGCTGCGACTCCCGCCGCTGCCGCGACTCCCGCTGCTGCCGAGACTCCCGTTGCCGCCGCCGCCGAGGCTCCCGCTGCTGCGGAGTCGAAGTAAACCTGTTCGTCAGGAAAACAATGAGTTTCAACGTCGGAGGGTCATATGGGTCAGACATTTGGGAGTTTTGAGCGTTCGGCAAAAGTGGGTTGATTGTGAGGGAAAAGGTGACTTAAGGGTCCGAACGGGGTTACAGGCTTCTCTCTGCATGCTGCTACCGCACTCGCTACTGCTTGCACGGCTTGCTCGCCCGCTGCAATGCATTTTTACAGTGATTCTTATACCCGAAGCGACTATACCCAGGTCTTTTCTGGTAGCAGCAATTGAGTTATTTCAAACCATTTATTGGAAATGTTGACTGACTCGGGTCCCAAGACGATTGACCATCTCAGCAGGTTGCAAAAACATTGAACCCAAAGAGAAACTGCGGTCCTACTGACATGGGTAGTTGGATCGGATGTCTGGATGGATATGTGCAGTCATGAGCTCAGATCTTGGTGTGTACAATTACTTTAGCTCCCCACGTAGGAGGCCCACAACCTCACGTTTCCGTGTGGGCATATGCTTTTTCAGCCAAAGTAAGTGGGCTCAAGTTTTCTGTAACGTACTGTGCCGTCACCGATACGTCACGAATGATCAGGATTAGCTTACCTTTGGCCGTAGGCAAAGTAGGCTGAGCAAGTGCGGCCTCTGGGCCCTTTTTAGCCAGCATGTACGACATTCCTGCATGTCTTAGATATTGTCTCCTTTATCCGCGAGGAGAAATTCGCCAAATAGGCCTGTTCGGCCTTGTACGCCCAATCATCAGATTTCTAATTTGGACACGGCCATCCTTCATGCGGCCTGTAGGATATACCCCGCAAGGAAATGATGAGCCGGCGTACCACAATAAGATACTCCTTAGAGACGGTTTGAGCAGGCGAACCTCCACCGAGGCGCAGGCAGGGCATCACACCGAGAATTCAACAGATCGAGTCGCATGATTCAGTCAAGTAGGCAAAAGAGCTCAGCCCGCCAACCTCAGGTCCTTCCGTTTCAGCAGCAGATCCACCACCATGCCCTTCTTTTAGAAAGAAGGTCGCCAGGCAAGATTATTCGACGATGCGAGTAGCCTGAGTGGCGAAGAAAGAAAAAAATTGTCCCTTGCGCACCGCACATCCCGAAATCGACCAATCGCTTTCAATCCCTGAGCTTTGTCGATGATGACGATGACTGGGAACCCTTTTGCGGTGACGGGCGGAAGCGGTCTCTGCTGTCAGCAATGTGACGAATGCTGAGTTGTCGACAGCATGGGAGACAGCCAGTATGTGACTCTTCACATGCAGTACCGCCTCCGCCCCGCCGCATTGGCTCTGCCCTACGTATTGCTCAATGCAAGTGGTGGAGTCGCGAGACCGCGCCGAAAGCAGAACTCGGCGGACACGTCAGATCGTGGCATTCAAACGCGAGTAAGTACTGAGACTCGAGGGTGGGAGGCTCCGCACCGCGGGGGCAAAAAAGCATGGAGTAGCACGCAAGCCCCTTGGTAGGCTTTTTTACGATGATGAAGCAGAGGGACTAGTGAATCTGTGGTGTGCTGACATGCAGATGCAGCGTGCCTGGGACGCAATGTGCCACCGCGTGCGTCTCTCCCTGTCAGCTTCCGGCGCGGCTCGAAGGTCTCGTGCATGGCCCGGCGGCCTGGAGCGATGTAGACGAGCAGAGCAGATGGTGTCGGCAGCGGCGCCTGCGGGGCGCGGCAGCCTTGAGCAGCCCTACGAGTCGCTCGGGCGGGTCCGCAGTCGCTCGACCAAATCCCGGTACTCCCGGGCATGCAGCCAATAGCGGTATGCAAAATGCAGGCAGCACAGAAATAGTACCGTTCGGTGGGGTGCCGTGTGTGTGGGCTCGGCCTGGCTTGGATCCGGAGGCCGGGTACGCGTACAGCGTATCTCGAGCGCTCAGGTGGCATCGCAGCGGTGCGGACCGTCCTGGCCGGCGAGGGACGGCCACTGCACAGGGCAAGCTCTGCGCCTCGGTGTGACCGTGGAACGCAGCCCTGAAGGGCGCGGTGAGGGTGGTGGTGAATCACGGTGCTGTTGTGAGGTGTTTGGCTGTCCGTCATCGACAGAGCCCCTAGTTGCCTGACAGGCATCACACCTCTGCCTTCTCCGCTAGAGGCCGTTTCCACCAGGCCGCTCACGCACAGCCGCCTAGGCCGGGACGGGCTCAGACTGTCGACCGGACGGCGCTGGAACAGGCCGGGGCTGCAGCAGCCAAGAACAGCCACACGTTCGCTTTTGCTGTGGTTCCCAGGGCTGGCATCGCGCGCTGTGAGTGGCGGGCCGCCCGCGACATGGGTGCCCGCGGTGGCAGCTTTACCGCCCCCACCCTGCACGCTCTGAAAATACACGCCTCCAAGCCCGCGCCATCCTCGCACCATGGAGCTGCCGCATGCGAGCACCGCTCAGCCGCACCTTCTCTCCATCCCTCTCAACCCTCCTGGCTGACCTTACCGTCGCCTGCTATAAAACCCTCCTCCGCATTCTCCACGTCGCCGCTATGAATCCACACGCCCACCGCTCTTCGTTTCGCCGTATTTGATACCCTGGTCATTGAACCATCAGTAGCCGCCCACCTCTCCGCTAGCCTCTACATACCTTATGTCGAGCTCCAGATCCAACTTTGAACTCCTCGAGTCATCGACCCGTCCCCCCTCTCGAGCTCCTTCCCGCGCACCCTCCGTTTCCGAACGAGACCGATCGCCACCGCCGCCCGACCCGGCGCCTCCACGCCGCAAGATGAAGAAGCAACACCCGCAGAAGGAGGTGCAGCAATTCTGGGACAAGTTCACCACCAACCACCCGGGCAAGATATTCACCCTCCTGCCCGACAACCTCTACGCAAAACGCGCCGCCGCGCACCACAAGAAAGAGCGCGATGCCGGGAGCCCGCAGGCGCAGAATGCCATGGCCTCCTACGAGGAGGCCGTGGCCGCGTGTCAAGAGAAGGTCCGGAAAATAGTGCGCGACTGCCGGCGCATCAACCAGAAATACAGAGGTAAGACCCGTTACGCGAGCTAATTCTGGCCTGCGAGCTAGTTGCTGACAAGTCGCCACTCAGATCCGCACTTTGATCTCGAGACGGACTTTCGGCGCAGCAAGCAGATGGGCGTGCCCCCGGACTGCTTGACCACATTGGGCGAGACTACGTCGGAGCTCAAGCCCATGTCCGTGAAAAGGATAGAGGTAAGATATTATAGCCTAGCGCTTACGGACCGGGGGATAGTGGCGACTGACAAGGGCCTAGGACATTTTCGATAACCCGCGCTTCTTCGTCGACGGCGCCTCGGCGAATGATATTCGGCAGGGCAATGACGGCGATTGCTGGCTGATGTCGGCCCTGTGCACGCTGAGCAACAAGAAAGATCTCATCAACCGCGTCTGTGTGGCGCGGGATGAGGAGGTCGGCGTTTACGGCTTCGTCTTCCACCGAGGTCAGTGTTACGATACCCGTTATCAATGCCAAGAAATGCTGACCTTGTCCAGATGGAGAGTGGATCTCCGAAGTCATCGATGACAAACTGTACCTTATCAAGGAGGATTTCGACGACTCAATCCGCGACCGCCACCAATGGCTCGAGCTGCAAAACAGAAAAAGCCCCGAAGAGGAGTACCGGACTGTTATGCAGACCGGATCAAGAGCGCTGTACTTTGCACAATGCAGCGATCCGAACGAAACATGGTTGCCGCTATTGGAGAAGGCATACGCCAAAGCCCATGGCGACTACTCGGCCATTGACGGTGGCTTTGTAGGTGAGGGTATCGAGGATCTCACTGGCGGTGTCACCTCCGAGCTGTTCTCCACAGACATTCTCGATAAGAATAAGTACTGGCAGGAGCTCATGCAAGTGAACAAGGACTTCCTCTTTGGCTGTGGTCAAATGGGTGGCAGCTATGGTGAGAGGAAGGGCATCCAGGAGAAACATGCCTACTCCATCATGGAAGCCAGAGAAATTGGGGAACACAGGTTACTCAAGCTCAGGTGAGTCAGGTGAAATACCAGCACTGAAGTGACATGGCTGATGAATTGAAGGAACCCTTGGGGTAAGACTGAATGGAGTGGCGCATGGTCTGACGGCTCTGAGGAGTGGACTCCCGAGCGCATGCAAGAACTCAACCACCGGTTTGGAGACGACGGTGTGTTCTGGATTAGCTACAAGGACCTCCTGCGCCATTACCAGCACTTCGACCGCACCCGTCTTTTCGGGCCCGAGTGGACTATCACCCAGCAATGGACGAGCCTCAATGTTCCGTGGTCCGTTGACTACCTGGACACCAAGTTCACCGTTACTCTCAGCAAGCCGAGCCCGGTCGTCATTGTCCTTCAGCAACTTGATGACCGCTACTTTGCGGGTCTCGAGGGTCCCTATGACTTCCATCTCCAGTTCCGGGTCCACAGAGGCGACGAGCCCGACTACATTGTTCGCAGCAACGGCCCATACTACATGAAGCGCTCTGTCAGTACAGAAATCGATCTTGAGCCGGGAACATACACTGTGCTTCTTAAGATTACGGCGAAGCGTTACGCAAGGCCCACTCCTATCGAAGTCGTCCGCGAAAATTGCTTCAGCCGCAGGGAGAAGTTGCTTTCAACTGGTCTCAGCTACGACCTTGCTCATGCCAAGGGCCAGTTCAAGCAAATCGCAAGAGAGGACAAGCAGCGAGAGAAGAAGGAACGAAAGGCCCTGGAGAAGGCAAAGAAGAAGAAGAACCACGAGAAGATGCGCAAACACCGCCAGAAGGCAAAGCTTCGGGAGCAGAAGAAGCAGATCAGACGTGCTCAGAGGCAAGCCGAAGGCGCAGCGCCGAATGGTCTTCCGACCCCTGGGTCAATGGACAATCAACCCGACTCCGCCGACCCGCTCGGCATCTCCCTGAGCGGTGATGATGCAGATGAGACCCGGCCCTCCGTGCGCTCCCACCACCGCGGTCGATCCTCGACTTCTGGCGCGCAGGTTCCCATGCGTGTTGAGGCAGCTCACAACGCTATGGAGAGCTCCGGTGCGTTCCAGGGACGTGGGGGTTACAACGGTCGTGGTGGCTACAACGGCCGTGGCGGATACAACGAGTCGACTGAGTCCTTCCCCGACGTCAGCGAGCCTGCTGAGGAAAAGGTTCCTTCCCGTCACAACTCACCCTCTCTGACTTTCGAGGCTGCTACTCCGATTGACGGCGAGCCTGGGTTTGGTGGTCGCGGTGGGTACAATGGACGGGGTGGCTACAATGAGGGACGTGGAGGCTACAACGAAGGCCGTGGTGGGTACAACGAGGGTGAAGCGTCGACTGACACTCACCCTCATACTCCTCGTTCCATGGGCACTTCTGAGGTCGGTCCGCCTTCTGCATACGACCGCCGCCCTCCTGCCGAGACTATCCCCATTGAGGGCCGCGAATCCCCTGCTGGGGATTTCACTGGCCGTGGTGGCTACAACGGTCGTGGCGGATACAACGGCCGTGGCGGTTACAACGATGCTCCTGAGTCTGACTCCCGTTCTGGCACTCCTCAGATTCCGCACAGAACCTCGTCGCCCTCTCGGGGCTATACTGGTCGTGGTGGATACAACGGAAGAGGTGGATACAACGAAGTGGCCGAGCCACAGAGCTCTTCTCGCGCTGATACGCCACCTCCGGGTTCTCGTGCCAGGTCTCCGTCCGCCTCGCCCCAACCCGAGCATGGCTTCACGGGCCGGGGTGGCTACAACGGACGCGGCGGCTACAATGGCCGTGGTGGCTACAATGAGGACGGCAAGAAGGATGCCCGCAACGCATCCCCCGCTCCCTCGCCTAGCGGACGCCGCGCGACATCTCCTCGCCCCCCGCGCCCGCGTCGCCGTGATACGCTGTCGCCACACCCAGTCCCCAACATTCACATCAACCGCTCCCGTGCCTCTTCTGTTGCCGGTTCTGTGGTCGATGCCTCGGGGCTTAGCGATAGCGACCTTTCTTGGGACTCGGAACTGGATGACCCCACCAGCGACTCTGAGACAGAGGACGAGTTCCACGATAGCCGCAACCAGGCCAGCCTGATTGAGAGGATGCAAATGCATCTCCAGGGCGACCGTGGCCAGGAACAGGCTTCGAACCAGCCCGAGGAAGTGGATCCCGATGACCAATTCGAGCGGGATCCCTGGAACGCCGTCTGCGTTGTCGGCCTTCGCGTCTACAGCAAGGATACGGATGTCACGATCGATGTGGTCAGGCCGAAGCGCGAGGAGACCAAGAAGGGCAAGGGTCTTGACAGGACTCTTGACATCGACGACTCCGCCAAGGATGCCACGAGGGGCCTCGGCGTCATGACTCCCGATCCAAGTTTTGGAAGGTTTGACGCCTACGTTAGCACCATCGGCAGCGCACCTGCAAATGTCGAGAGCTCGAGGCAAGGATGAAAGATTTTTACATGCGAGAAATGATGTTGATGATTTGTAGATGAGTTGGAACGGTCTTTGGTTATCAGCGCGGAGTGTTGTATCGTTTAGCGATCGTTCTTTCGCTTGTCCTTTCGGAGTTGATGTTTTAGGTTTTGTTCTATCACGCACTCGTCTCAGTCGTTTACGCATAGCCATGGTTTTTGTATACTTTGCTGTTGACATCTCCGATCAATCCGTCGTTTATGAGCATTGCAAGATATTCCATACAGGTCAGGCTAATATGTATTGTTTACAATATCGACATGTTATATTCCCCGCGTCGTTCGTCCTGCTCGTTTCCATCGTTTCTTCTTCTGCCACTTTGCTACAGTCGTTCTCATTTCCTGACTCTCTGGAAGAACGCCTCGGCCTTCTCCAACGCCCCCTCATACTCCTTGGAAAACCCGAGGATATGGCCCAACAACGCGATATCGTGCGGCGCGTGCGGCACAATCTCGAGCTCGCACGGCTGGCCGCCCTTCCCCTTCCCTTCATTCACCTTCCTCAAACCCTCAAAGAACTCGACATTGTCGTGGAACAGCAGCTCCCGCCCGCCCGTCTGCACCCACACGGGCGCAGGCGAGGGGAACGCATCCGCCGCAACGACGGATATCCACGAATCATTCACAAGACCGTCGCGGTGCCCGGCGTACGCGCGGCAACCCCACGCGCCGAACGCCTCGGGCACGTAGTCGGAGTCGCGGTTCGGCGACAGCGCCACCCGCCCGGCATCCAGCGCCTGCGCGGGGCTCGTCCACGGCGACCACAGCCAGGCGCACGCGGGAGCCTCGTCCTCCTCCAGGCCGTCGATGCCGTCGTCGCGGTACGTCGCGATGTACCGCAGCAGGGCGTTGACGATGTTGCCGCCCGCGCTGTCGCCCGAGAGGACGATGCGCGACGCGGGGATGCGGTGGCGCCGCCGCAGGTGCAGGTACGCCGTCAGCGCGTCCTGCAGCGCGGCCGGGTAGCGCGCGTCGCCGCCGGGCGACGACGACGACGACGCCCCGGCGAGGCGGTATTGCGGGCAGAAGACGTGGGAGATGGATGAGTGGCATTGGCGGAGCATGGTGCGGGCGAGCGCGCCGCAGTCGTTTTCGCGGCCGTCGCCGAGGACGAAGGCGCCGCCGTGGAGGTGGAGGACGATCGCTTTGGTGTTGTTGCTCTTTTTTTCTTCTCCCTCTTCACCTTCGTCGCCGCAATACCGCTCCGCGTACCACGTCCCCCCGATCCTGGCCGGACGCGTCTGATCGCCGTCGTCGTCGTCGTCCTGCAGCGGCCCGCGGTACGCAGACGCCTCGGCCGGCTCCATCACCTCGAAGCGCTCGCCCTCGGCGCCCGGCGCCAGCGAAAGCGGGACGCGCGACACGCCTTCCACCGCGGCGCTGTGCTGCACGATGGCGCGCAGCAGCCGCACGCCGATCGCCTGCCGCCACGTCCAGCGCGGGTCTGGGCGCGTGAGGGAGGGAAGGAGGCAGTAGAGGAGCGCGCAGAGGGGGAGCCGGATGAGGGTTTCGAAGATGAGGGAGGTGAGGATGTAGATTGCTTTGAGGGGTTGGCGGGTTAGGATTTTGGGGTTTGGGGTGGCGGCGGCGGCGGCGGCGGGGGGAATGGTCGTCATGGTGGTGGGGTAGGTGGTTGGGGTTTGGTGTACTGGTGTTTATGGGAGAGCGAATGCTCTGTGCCTGGGCGGCTTTGTCACGGTGGGAACACGAGAGATAAATGATGGACGTTGGTGGTAAGCGTAGTAATAGTACTGGACGTTCATGACTCTCTTCTTTTCGGCCCTTCAATGTGGACCGCGGTGAAGGTCATTATAGTGGAGACCGGAGCCGAGGCGTTTGGCGTACTCCGTGATGTAGATGGCGTAGATGCCTAGGTATCTCCATGCAACTAATAGATACTAGACATCTAGAGTTAGATTTAAGCTTCGCTCTGTCCCTCGCACTATGCTCTTGTCGACTGTCAAATGTAGCGGAGAGTAGACGTACCGACACTAGTGGATGGCTCGGTGCCGAGGCAAAGGGTCTCCAAGAGGGCACCGTGCAGAGAGTGGTCATAGCTCATACGTTGCTCTGACTGCCAGCCTGCCGGAGCTTGGACGAAAGTATGTGGATGTGTGAGGGGTTCTATGAAGGATAGATGACTGGACCGAAAGGCCTCGGAATCTTGCATATGACAGAGAGCCCGATGAAAGCGTTGAATGCGCGACTGTCTTGAAGGACTAGGAGAATACGCTCGGCCACGTCACACCTGTGCACCGTATACCCCCGACATCCGCACCTATCTACCTATGGAATCGAGGGTTTCCAGTATACGTTTGGTAACATAAGTCAATCAGCTTATCGAATGAGTTTTCCATGGCTTTACCGCTGCAAGAAGTAGCGAATTGCAGTAGCACAACAATGGTATTTGCAACTAACAAACCTTCGGCCTTGAGCCTGGAGCTGGTAGTAAGAGCCGGTGGCTTGCTGTTCGGCACTTACGGCACTCTTCCTTGACACTCAAGGCGGCATAATCGGCACTGACAAGCTTCGTTCGCCGGCACCTTCGGCTTCAACGCTGTTCGACAATACACATTTTGCCTAATACATGCACTTGCATGAAGACGCCTCGTTCATTGCGCAATTCAAATGAATCAGTCTCACGGAACTTGACGCGATGTGAGGCACACCAGCCCTATCGGCACCGGTTGCTCAAAGCCGGCCAATTGCCTAAACAAGCAACGTGCAACTGCTTATCGATAAGCGATGGGGGGAGGAGGGGCACAGATATGTCATCACCTCCCCCAGAGCCAAGCGTCACCACTCTTCGCACCCCACCTATCGCGAGAGCACTCTTCCCCGATAAACCCCGCAGGCCCTCCCCTGTAGGCAATTAGTAAAATGTTACGATAAAAGCTCTTAATCAATTCCCCCTCTTCTTCTTCCCCGCGCCGCTTTACTTATTCACATCCACCCTCCTCCCTTCTTTCCTCTCCAACTCATTATTCTCTGTAATCCTGCTCCGCCTTCCCGAACAATAATCCTCAGCCGTAGAAATATACACATACAATGGGCGGCTCCAAGAACTGGCAAGAAATCGCCGCCGCGAAGCGCGAGGCGATCCTAGCCTCCATCCCCAAGGAATACATCATCGCCGACCTGCCCACCCCCGAGCAGCAGCGCGACATAACCGGCACGTTCGTGCACCAATGGCTCAGCCCGCGCGAGATCGAGATCACGGAGACGGACGCGCCGGGCATCGTGGCCAAGACGACGGCGGGGGCGTGGAGCGCGGTCGAAGTCACCAAAGCCTTCATCCACCGCGCCTCGATCGCACACCAACTGGTTGGTCTGCTTTCTTCTGCCCGTCCCCCAAGAAACTTATCCTCCCCACCCCACCCCCCCAAAACCTTTCAGTCACTCCCCTCCCCCAAATCCCTAAAAGCAGCAGCAGCAACAGCAGAACCCTAACACACAAAACCCCCTCCCCCACCCCTCCAGACAAACTGCCTCCACGAAACCGCCTTCCCCGCCGCCCTAGAAGCAGCCGCAGCGCTGGACCAGCGCTTCGCGCAAACGGCAGACAAACGCCGCGGGCTCGGGCCCCTCCACGGGCTCCCCGTCTCGCTCAAAGACCAATTCCACGTGCGCGGCCTCGACACGAGCATGGGCTACATCGGGTGGCTAGGCACCTACCAGGGCCAGCGCGACTCCAAAAACTACCCCATCACCGCCTCCACGGAATCATTGCTGGTGCGGCACCTGCGGTCGCTCGGCGCCGTCATCTACGTCAAGACGGCGGTGCCGCACACGCTCATGTGCGGCGAGACGATCAACAACATCGTCGGCTACGTAGCGTCCCCCGCCAACCGGCTGCACCTCTCCGCGGGAGGGTCGTCGGGCGGGGAAGGGGCGCTGATCGCGCTCAAGGGGTCGCCGTGCGGCTTCGGGACCGACATTGGCGGGTCGGTGCGGATCCCGGCCGCGTTCAACGGCTTGTACGGCCTGCGGCCGGCGGCGGGGCGGCTGCCGTACGAGGGCGTGGCCAACAGCCTGGACGGGCAGAACAGCGTGCTCAGCGTCGTGGGCCCGCTGGCGGGCAGCGTGGGCGGGTTGAGGCTGCTGACGGAGGCGGCGCTGGGGGCGGAGCCGTGGCGGGAGGATCCGATGGTGGTGGAGATGGCGTGGCGGGCGGACAGGGCGGCGGGGGTGGCGGAGAAGGCGGAGGAGAAGAGGCTGACTTTCGGCGTGCTTCGCGACGACGGCGTCGCGCGCGTCACGCCGCCCGTCGCGCGGGCCCTGTCTCTCGCGGTCGACAAGTTGCGCGCCGCGGGCCACGCCGTCGTCGAGTGGGAGCCGCCCTCTCACGCCGACATCGTCGAGTGCTGCGCCGCCACCTGGACCTATGACGGCGGCCGCGACACCATCGCCGCCTTCGCCCTGTCCGGCGAGCCGCAGGCCACCGAGTACGTGCAGATGCCCTGGCCCGACCCCATCTCGCCCGAGGCCACGGCCACCGACATCGCCGCCAACAACGTGCGTCGGCGGCGCCTGCAAAAGGCGTATCTCGATTACTGGAACTCCACCGCCGGCGGCGCCGGCGTCGACGCCATCATCGCCCCCGTCGCGCCCTTCCCCGCCGCCCGCCCGAAGCTGTACACGTACTACGGCTACACCATGTGGGTGAACCTGCTCGATTACACCAGCGTCGTCGTGCCCGTGACCAGGGCGAGCAAGGATGCGGATCCGCGTGCGGTCGACTTCGAGCCTAGGAGCGAGCTGGACGCCAAGACGCAGGCTTCGTACGATCCGGACATCTACGACGGCGCGCCCGTCGCGGTGCAGCTTGTTGGCAGGAGGCTGGAGGAGGAGAAGATGCTGCAAGTGGCCGAGGTGGTGGACGGGGTGCTGAGAGACTGAGACCTGTTGCGGGGTCGGTGATGGGAGGGGGGCTATAGCTTTTTCTGAAAGTCAAAGAGGTGGAGTGATGGCACATGGCAGGCTTTTTTTCTTTCTCTCTTTGACATGGCGAACCTGGACTGCGGCCGTGGGGACGTAGGTATCTGTAGCACGTAATGAGCGTTTGTGCAACCCTCTCTTCCGTCGTGTTACTCTTTCCTTTCGGTAGTTCGAAAGAATTTATTCAGCCCACATCTTTACATAGCAGTGAGGCTAAGTTTGTTAGGATTGTAGTGATGCCTACCGTGTTCCGTTGCTCTGTCGGGTATGCATCGGCAACGACTCCAGTTTAAGGCAGATGGGCCATGTAAAAGCACTTTCTCTTACGCTCAACACAGAAAAAAAAAGGCGAAGGGATAGCACATCTCAGACGTCAAACAAGCAATGAATAGATCAAAGACTACATGGAGAAACAAAAAAGAAAGACAAAAAAAAGCATGATGGTATATAGCATATATCAACAAGAATATAGTATCTCGGCTACCTCGTCTCTCATCCCTCTCGCTAGCAATAAAATGCCATTAGCCGGGTATGTGATATAGACAGTTAAGTAAGGAGTACGTTACAAGAGGAAAATTCGACAAATGCGAAGCAAATGTCATGGGGCATTTGGGTCTTTTGCAGCCGGGGGTGGGTCATAATACATGAAAATAAAATGAAAAGGAGCTTTTTCGTCTTTTACCGGACGTATCTGCCATCCGGCTTTCCCCTCTCCTTTTGTACTAGCCATCCGTACCGGGGTGCAGATAGCCGGTTGGAACTAGAAAGCGCGTTGAAGAATAAAAAGACATTCGTTGCAACAAAAGCAGAATTTTTGCGTTACTTGAAGCAAACAACAGGGTACTAAAGCAGTAAATAGGGCGACGATTTCTTCGGCGACTCGATAAGCATCAGTCAGATGGATACCACTCGTCAAATCGTGCCGCTCTGCCAACGCAAGAGCGAAGGAAGCGGATAAGCGAATAAACTGGCATACTCTGGTAGCATGCATCCTATTGGAGCTCTCTCTTGCTGCCCTTCGGCACACCCGAATCCAAGCCCAGGCGGGTCTCTCAAATCGGCCGTAGAAAAAAAGTGAAATGACATCGTCTCGAGCGTCGACTATCGAGTTCCTCGATGGCCGTGGTTACCAACTCCACGATCCATCCTTGCTCCCGTCATTAGTTGCCATACAGTCATCCCCAACCTGGTGTTCCTGTCATAAATGCGTCAGGTCCACCGACGTTTCCTGGATGCGCTTGCAGTTCAATACCATCCATCAAAGCACCGTTGGGGCCCACAGTCCCAACGACTGGTCCGCTTGTCTCTGGTAAGATTCGCGGGCCTTTGCCGTTAGGAGTGAGGCCAGTCATCCCTTGTAATCCTGGGAAATGCGTGGATGCATGAGTGGGGGCACCCATGCCCGTCCAAGCCTGCGTGTGCTGAGGCGGAGGTTGCTGGTTGTGCGGAGTAGGCGGTTGTGAGTGCGGGTGTTGCGGCGGTTGACCGGGAAGGGAAGGCGTTCCAAGCGGCTGCTGCGACATTTGTTGTTGGGTGAGCTGCTGCGGAGGAAGAGGTTGGTGAAGCGGTGACGGGTTCTGTGGATGCTGGGGGCGTTGTTGAGGGTGTTGTGGCTGGTGGTGTTGAGAAAGCTGCTGGTGATGAGCGTGTTGCTGACGCTGGGCATGGCTCTGCTGCTGTTGCTGGAGGCTAGGCTGCTGTTGTTGCTGCGGAGCGTTTTCCGGCGAGATGACCGTCTCCGCGTCTGCATCAGCGTCCGCATCGTCATCATCTCCATCTGGGTCTATTACATCCGTTGCATCGGAATCCACAACTCCGTCCCGCGAGCTCTGAGACGTGGCGAATCCATTGGCTGCGATGGACGGGGGCACGAGTGTTGTTGGTGTACCCATGGGTCCCGCGCTTGTGCCATTGATACCCACGTGGTGCATCGATGTACTCAGCATGCCTCCCCCGCAACTGATAGGCGTAGTGTTGCCGTTTGTTGCGTTCATGCCGCTGGTACTCACTGGTGTCGACGCCGGAACAGAACCTGTGCTCAAACTCCTCTGGTTTGCCAAGCTTGACATACTCTTCTTATTTTCTTTGACCACATTCGTCCACTTCTCCATCAGCTTGTCGTAATCCCAGGTCCGGGGATCCAATCCTTGGGCATGCTTTCCAGCCAATTCCTTGAATGTTTCACTCGGCACTGGTAGAGAAGTGCTGGGACTCTGCACTCCACCTGCTCCGTACGCCGATGTTGTCGACGAGGCCATGCCCATGTTTATCCACCGATTGTTTTTCAGCGTCTCAATCTCCTTCCTTGCGTTGGCCAGGCTGTTCTCGGCTTCCCTTCTCGACTCATCCGCACGGGTGTAGCTCCGCAAGATCTCCAATGTCCACGTCTCCTGCCGTTGCTTATCCGACAATGACTTCCAGTGGTTGTAGGCATCCTGCAGGTGTTGGAACAGCCGCTGCGGATCGGGATCGAATCCTCCGAGTGGTGGAGTGGGGAGCGGAGATGCCGCACTAGCCGAGGGCGTGCCGACAAGCGGGTTCGTGGCGCCAAAAAGTTGCGAATGTCTTTGCCTTTGCACCAGACGGTCGCGGATATTTTTATTCAGAGCGTCGAATTGTTTCTGTCCGGGCGGGCTTATGGACCACGACTCGCTGTTCGGGAAGGGCGAGGGTGAGAACAAGGTTGCGGGAGCGGGAAGGATATGGAGACATAGAGAAGGAAAGCTCAGGGTGTAAGGATCGAAGTCGAAGAGGTTGACGCCGGCTGAGCGGGCGCTGGAGTCGAGGTCAGCAATTGAATCAACGGCAGCGTAAAAACATCCCAATTGGGCGGTCCCGGATGGGTAAAAGTGGGCCACGCACCTGGCATCCCTCACGCTCGCCAGAACCTCCCTCAATGCCAGCTCGGCGGCCCTCCCATGGTCGAGCTCGTCGTACAGTACCTGCCGAGTCTCCAGTCCTCGCTTATGCAGCTCGTGCCGTGACTTGCTCGTCTCGCTGCTCACGCTCGCACGAGGGGGCAGATTGTTGATGACACCGGTGGAGGTCCACGAGGGCTGGTTGAACTGAAAGCGCAGCTTTTGGGGAGGCGGGTTGATGTTCAGCGTCGGGCTCTGGGTGACAACCGGAGAAGCAGTGTCGGCCGACACGGCACTCACAGACGGATTTTGCGGCTGGCCCTGCTGCGACGGCTGGTGCTGCTGGTGCTGGTGCTGGTGCTGGACGGGCGTCGGCACCTGCTGCGGGGCGGTGGGCTGGGGCGGGGGCGGCTGCTGCTGCTGCTGCGAGACGGGCGTCGAACCGCCGCTCGAGTCGCCCTTCCGGGCCAGCGAATTGCGAGCCTGGCGGCGGGTGATGCCGCCGCGCATCCTGCGTATCTCGTCGACATTGTGGATGCCGTCGGGGGCCTTGGGGTTCTTCGGCTTGATGTAGAGGTCGAGATGGCGGCCGAGCGAGGACGAGGTGAAGGGCTGGTGGCAGAAGGGACAGTTCTTGTCCTTGGGGGCGGGCGCCTTGGAGCCCGGGGGCTGCTGGTCCTGCGGCTGCTGCTCCTGCGAGCGAGCCTGGTTGTCGTCGGCCATGGGTGGCGGAGCAAGGATGGGGTGGAGAGGGCGAGGTCGCGGGTGCAGGCTCGGGACGCAGGCGGGACGCAGGCCTGGCTCTCGGCGGGCGGGGCGCGGTCGCGGGCTCAGTCGGGGTGCGGTGTGCTGTGCCTGGGTCAGCGGCCCGTCATGGCGGTGCGGTGCGGGCTAAGGCATCTTGTGGTCTGGAGCATTATTTTATCTCGGGGCGCTCTCCTGAAGGACGTCTGTGCTGGGGCGTCAGTTCGCATTAGGCGCAGGGATCTGCCTGCCCTGTCCACGCCCGGCCCAGCGCGCCCAAGCAGCCAACATGATCACCCGCGGTGCCCGGGTGCCAATCCAAAGCCGTGCCGGAGCAGCAGTCGAGCGCGCGATGCTGCCTCCCCAGCCAATCGCGCTTGTTTACGTTTTGCCCATCCGGGCATCGGTTGTACAGGCACGACAGGCCCTCGCCGACCACGTCAGCAGCCCGCCAGCAGCCCGCCAGCAGCCCGCCAGCTCCACGCCCCTATCCACTCGTCTCGAGTCTCTGAGCCCGCCCGTCTTCCCCGACAGCCTCCTTGCCTCCGCCTGCGGCAAGTCGGAGCGCAAGTCGGAGCCACCTGTTGGCCGCCGGCTGCGTCCCGCTACGGCCCGCCCCTGACTGTGCCGCGCGCACGCCTTAACTCAATCGTGCAAAGATCTCTTGCTCTGCTGCAAGTCCAGTGGCCGCTACTTCTCATTAGCCCTGTTCTTAAGCCATTGGCCCCAACGAAAGCTGATACTGCCGCCCAGTCGCTGTAACCGAGCCTAGCGTCACTCCAAACACGTCTGGCTACGTCAGCTTCCAATCATTTGTCAAGACCGCGGATCCCCCCATTCTGCACCGTGTATCAGAGTCTTCTAGATCCAAGACTTGGAGGAATGCAGCACGATGAGCCATGAAACGAGTGGCAGGCGTAGAATATGTTGTCGCTGCTGACTCAATACAAGCACGCGACCTCGTGCGCGAAGCCGTCGTCTGAAAGAGGGCATACTTTATCACTTACTTCAACGGAAAGATTTGATCTTCGCAGCTGGGGGTGGTCGGTATTAGCCAGATGAATCAACTCTTCACGAAATCTGTGAAACACCAAACTTTTCATTTTTTCTCGTTCTATTTCTTTCTTTTGCTTGTTCACTTGCGACCATTCCCAATACTCACACATCACACATCCCTCAACTTCGAAACTGCCCTCTCAGCATCTCTCTCATACTCCTCCATCCCACCCTCCAACTTCCTCAACCGGCCTTTCGCCAACCTATAAACCACACCCACCCTCTTCAACGCCCCATCCTCACTCTCCCCACTCTCACTCCCATCTCCCTCTTCATCCTCACCATCATCCCCAAACCCTCTATCCACCCTAGCCCCTTCCACCACACCTCTCACAAAGAACCGGTCGTGACTAACCACAACGATCGCGCCCTCGTAGGCCCGCAGCGCACTGACCAAAGCTAGAATAGTATCCGCGTCAAGGTGCGTCGTCACCTCGTCCAAGATGAGTAGGTGCGGCGGCGCGGGCCACAGGAGTTTCGCCAGCGCCACCCGGACCTTCTGCCCGCCCGACAGCGCCGAGACGGGAACGTCCGAGACGACGGCACCCTGGAGGCCCAAGCCGGAGAGCAGCACTCGCGCCTCCTGTTCAGAGATGGGCTGGGAAGAGGGGTCTGAGAATACCGAAGTGGCAGCGCCGGGGTTCATTGTGGTGGTAGATGCTTCGTTGAAGAAGGCGATGAGGTGGGCGAGTGCGCTGGTGGACGTGGCGGCGGGCATGGCGTCGAGGTGCTCGACGGCCTCCTGAGAGAAGCGGCCGATGCGGACGCGGGGATGGCGGGTGATGGTGCCCTTTGTAGGCACCGAGGCCTGCTGACCAGTGATCAACTCCAGCAGCGTCGTCTTTCCGGATCCGTTCAAGCCCGCCAAACCAACACGTTCGCCCGGGTGGATGATCAGATCCACCTCCTTCAACACGTCCTCGCGACCGCCAGGATACCGGAACGACACCTTCTCCACGCTGACCAGGGCGCCGGGGAACTTCAAATCGGTCGGAACCAGCGGCACCACAATGCGCGGCAGCTCGTCGAACGCGGGGACCTCGATCTCGGCACGGCTCGTGGCGTGGTGGCCCGCCAGGTCCCTATTCAACTTGAACCTCGTCCCCTTGGCCGAGACCTGCAACCCCGCGCGCTCTTCCATCTTCCTCTGCCGCCCAGCCACCTGCTTCAGCTTCTTATCGTCGCCCGTCCTGCGCGCCCTGGCCTTGCTCTCCTCCAGACTCCGCCCCAACCTCCCGTCCCGCCGCTCCTGCGCGTCCCGCATCCCGCGCATCCACTTCGCATGCCTCCTCCTCTCCCGCTCATACGCCGTCACGTTCCCCCGGAACCGCTCCAGCGCCCCCTCCCGCAACACCAACAGCTCCTCCGCCACCCCATCCGCAAACGCCCTGTCATGCGTCACCACCACCACCGTCGTGCTCCCCAACCCCCCCTCGGCCACATGCCGCTGCAGCCACACAATCGCCGGCAGGTCCAGATAATTCGTCGGCTCGTCCAACAGCAACACGTCGCACGCGCCGCACAGCGCCCGCGCCAGCCCGCACCGCGTCCGCCACCCCCCCCGACAGCCGCGCCACGGGCATCCCCACGCTCTCCGCGGTAAACCCCAGCCCGAGCAGCGCGCGCCGCGCCCGCGCCTCCTGCGCCCCCGCGTCCACCGCCGCCAGCTCCGCTTGCGCCTCGGCCAGCATGTCCGCCGCGCGCTGCGTCTCTGCCGCCACCACGTCGTCGTCGATGTCGGCGATGTCGTCGACGTCGCTCGTGGTTTGGAGCAGCGCCTCGCGCGCCGCGTTCACGGCGGCTTCGGCGGCGAGTTGCTTGGCGCGCGCGTCTTTGCCGCGCGCGCCTGAGCGCCGGATCGCGGCGTGCCGGGCGGTGAAGTGCTCGTGCCGGAGGCGGCGGTAGGTGAGGAGGCGGTAGGCGCGGACGGGGGCGAGCGGGTCGGGGGCGGTGGTGGTGGTGGCGTCGTCGTTGGTGTTGAGGGCGGTGGTGAGGAGGGCGACGGTGGATCGGAGGGTGGTGAGGTGTGTGTTCCCGTTGAGGACGTGCTCGAGGACGGTTTCGTCGTGTGCTGGGTGGTTGTGCGGGGGTCCGTTGGCGGCGGGGAGGAGGAGGGAGAGGTTGGCGAACTCGGCGGGTAGGTCTGGATCGGCGTCGATGTCGCCGTGGTCGGTGATGCCTTGGTTTTGTTGAAGGGTGGTTTGGCCGAGGAGGAGGATGCGTTGGTTCAGCGCGATGCTGGTCATTTGGCCTGTGGCCATGGCTCGGAGGATGGCTGGCGCGGCGTCAGTGGATTCGAGCGAGGAGGAGGTGGGGATGGTGAGGTGAAAGGTAGGTGGAACGGACTTGATTTCCCAGTGCCGTTCCGTCCAGCGAGGACATAGTGTCGACCTTCCTCAAGGTGGATCTCTGCATTGCGAAGGACTTCTTTCTTGCCAATGGAAATGCTGAGATCCTTGACCAGGACCTGTTGGAAGCTTATCGTTAGCCATAAGCGGAGATGATGGTGGACTGGGAGAATGGGATGGGTGTAGAGCCGAAGCAGTGTTTCCTTGACCGCTATGCTGTCTCCAGCATTGTCTTTCATCGTGTCCTGAGCTTCGCAATGACAAAACTCGAACAGTGGATGTATGATGCCGCCACTCACCTCTTTCGAATTCGGAGCATCGACGGCATCAAGTGCATATCTGCTCTGTTGCGATGTGACGTACAGCTGCCCCTCGCCGACAGCTGTGGCACCTTGCTTGCCAGTCACCTTCTCCTTCCCCTTCCTCACCATTGTTCCACTTGTTCTTGTCGTTGCTAGCGAGGTGTAGTCTTAGTCTTGAGGTTTGTAGGTAGAAAGCCGAGAGCAAAGCACAACAAATATAGCTGTAGAGCGATTGGTGTGGGGGTGGTAGTCCGTAGATGGAAGGCGTAAATGTACCTGGTGGCTTGGTTCCGTACCACAAATCCAACCTTCTTCAGGCTTTATATGATGCAAAATGAATCACTTGGACAACTGTGGGATAGCAAACGAGATCGTGGAGCTAGCGCCTTGAATTCAGGGGCGAGCGGGCTGGGCGCGGTGACGGTGATGTCGCCGGCGGACTCACGGTGTCTATGCGAGGACGGTGTCTAAAAGCGTAAAATTGCCAAGGAAACTACTACCAACACAGAAAAGGAAAAGTTGGCACAAGGGCGTACGGAAGAGTGGTGGTGAGCCACGCCAGGAGAATTGTTAGCGGACTGGCGCCGGGTACGGATATGCTGTGGCGATGCGCAGAGGAGATCGATTGGTCGTTCATGTGGTTCGCATTTACTGCATACTCTATCTTGAAGCAAAACTTCCGCTGCTAGTTACTCTATCCCTGAAACTTGATGCCTCCGTCGTAGAATCTATCTTGAAAAAACAAAACTGGAGAATCTTCTGAAACCATGTCTGCACCTGGAGACGAAAAAGAAAAGAAAAGAATAAGCGGCTCATCGCTATCTAAACCCTTTGAAGAAACTTCGGTTCCATCAAGCATGGCCAAGTAATCCCGCTGCGAATCGGAGAATGATCGTTCCAAGAAAAGACCGATAGAGACCAAGGCCTTCAAGAACATTGCAATTGACCGTTTGCTATGGGCAAATCTTACCGAGACCAAGTGGTCTCCAAAAAGAAGCCCACATCATGGAATACCCAACACTGTCGTGAGGTGTAGTCGAGTACCGCAGCTTCCCTACAAGCAGCAGCTAAACTTTACGTGCCATTCTCTGGACGAGGATCAGAAAACCAGTTGCCCTGAGCCACTTTCTTAGGCTTCGTCCATCTCGAGGTCGATATCCTGGACAGAGGCACGTGAAGGGCCGGAGACGGAAGAGCCGGAACCGTTGGTGCCATTTGAAGAAGATCCAGATGTTGGAACGCCTTGCCGATACTTCTGGTCCAACTCCTGCAGACAGTCGAGGGCTGCGACCAGCTTCTCCCGGTCCGCCCTCAAACTGCGGCGGCGCACCTCCCGGGCAGGGTCCTCTGCGAGGAGCCGGGCGCAAGTGTCTTGGTTGTTCTCGCCGAAGATCTCGAGAACAGTAACGAGCTCATCCCTTAAGCCCCCCCTGAGCTTTTCGAATAGCTCGGCTTGGAGTCCCATCACAACGGCGTCAACATAGCGCATTGATGCGATATTGTAGTAGCCGCGCACTTTGGCCATGGCCTCGACCTCTCTCGTGAACGGGTCAGGACCAAGCTGATGTTGAAAGTCCCTGTCCTTAGCCTTCTTTAGTCTCTCTGTCTTCGACGTTTGTTTGCCCGTGGAGGCATCGTATTCATCAAAGTGGATGTTGGTGCGGGCTTTGATCCTAGCTTGCAAGAAAATCTCGAGTTCCTGCTTCTCATTGTACTCGAGCGCTGCGGCATTCTCCGTGACAGGCTTATGACGTTCGAGCCTTAGAGCTCGGGGAACAGCGTGGTCGCGCTGCTCACTGAACGCGACTTCAAGGAAATTTTCTGACAGCCGAGCTGTCTCTCTGGAGAGCTCCGTCGTTTTCCATGCCCTCAGCGTATCATCTAGTCCTTTGTTGAGAGTTGTGCGAAGGGCTGTGTGTAAACCGTCCAGAAAGTCCTTGGTGGGATGTTCCCAGCCTTCCAGAGTCTTCAGTCTCAAATAATTGAGGGCTTTGGGATCGATTTCGCCCGGAATGTCCGAGGAGGATTTTTCATCGAGTGTTTTGTGGATGTACTCGAGGTCGAATCTCTTGGTGTGCTCGTCGCCGCCGGGTGGTCCGCGGCGTGAGGGTGTGCTGTCTGACGGAGCGACCTTTCTTTTCTTTGTTGGGGTAGGCTGCACGCTGGGGGCACGCTCATTGTCGGAATCATCGATCGATATAATGTCCTTCGGCCTCGAGAATGACGATGTCTGGCTCTGGGTTTGCGGCATCATGGAATTTGACCTTCGTTGGGCATCTCGGACGTCGGCAGCTGTTCTTACGAGCATCGTCGGCCTTTGAGCGGTTATGCGACTGCGAAACTGGTTCCGCAAGCTTTTCCAAACTAGGCGGAACTGGTTGTCCGGATAGTCGCCCTCCATCTGCTTCGATATCTTATCTGTGAAGTTATTGACTATCTCAGAAACGATGCGGAGAGCATCTGTAGTCGGTGGCTCGGGGAGATGTGCCAATTCGTCATCGATCTTGGAAAGTTGCTCCTGAACGCGTTCGTGAATGGTCGGGAGACTCTTGAGAATTTGTATGGCCAACATTTGAGATAGCTTGTCTTGAAGTCTCTCGGTGCCGAAGCGGTCGTTGAATGGCATGAAGCGGTCACACCACGGCTTCATCTTCGAAAACCACTCCGTCTCCTGGTTGCGTGCGGCGGCGTGGTCTATACCCCTGTCGAGCTCGGCCTGGGACGGGTTACGCACCACGTGATAGCCGTGGCCAAGCTGGAATGCATTGCCTTGCAGTATTCCCTCCCAACGGTCAACTGGGTCTCCACGCGGCAGACGGTCAGGTTTTGTCAAAATGCCCAGGCACCTGTCGATAGCACCGTATTTGCGTAGGAGTCCAGCACTACTGGAGTTCTGGATATCGTTTTCCATTGAGCATGCCAACAGAACCAGAGCATTATCCTTTGAGACGTAGCGCTTCACCAGCTGCTTGACGAGCTTGATGAGCGAGAGGTCTCCCAAGTTTTCCGTCTGGGAGATGACTCCAGGGAGATCGTAGAAGGATAGGTTGGGAAGGCCGGGGGCGGAGATATCCAAGCACACCAAGTTGGGTGAGAACTCGACTTGATACTGGCCGCCACCAATGTCGGTCGAAGGTTGCAATGGTACGAATGTCATAGGGTCGGAGCCTGGGTTGAGGGTGGCCAGTTGAGCTTGCTTGATGACTCGCTGCAAGTCCTTCTTATTGAAGACCGTCTTGAAATGCATGGTCTCCGGAGGGTCATTCTCTTGCCAGGGAAAGAACGGCGGCGGTTTCTCTGAGGGTGGGTAGGTGATGTGACTGGCTTCGTAAAAGAACTCGCGTCGGAGGGACACATCGCAGCGCCAACGGGCATTCACCTCTTTGTTTTCAGTCAGGGTTATCTGCATGGGACAGCGCGTGCACGTTCCACTGCTGCGAGGGACCTGAATTCCGGAGATGGCGTTGATGACTGAGCTCTTCCCAGTCGACTGGTCTCCAATGACGACGATCTTGGGTGTGTCACCGGCGACCTTGGTGATTCCCAGTTGCTCGATCTTATTGATGGCCTGGACGAGCTCTTTCACTCCACGGCCCAAATTCTCGAGCGCAATGTTATCGGGGATGGCGGTGGCTTTTGCCTGTTAGCGGGGGACCTGTCAATCTGGACGGCAGACTTACTGGAACGGCTTTGATTGTCGGGTTGCGACAGTGCCTGTGAAGATGCCTCCATTTTGACTGTGCGGGACATGGTCTCAACAACTGAGCCGTCCCGCTCACTCTCGGCCTGGCCGCTCGACGGCAGATGGACCAGGTTCACTCCTGATCCGTGACGTGAGGATCGCGTGACCATTGGTACAGCAGGAAATAGCGCGTGAAGGTGATGGAGACGATCGCGAGCTCTGATGGTCAGTTAGAAGAGCCAGGACAAGTAAAGAGGTGGTGGAGGTGTAAGGGAAGAAGATGAGAGTGAGGGACGGTGTGGATCTTATGGGTGATCAACGCAGTGACTGTGAGACGGTGCGATCTGCGAGTCGAAGTGAGATGCCTTACTGCGAGATGTTTCTTCCTGTCGATGATGGTGGGTCTTTGCCCGGATTGAAGTCGCTGCTACTGCGTAGAGCAAACCTGAAAGCACTCAGAGATACCGAGGATCCCGCGGGCGTCTGAGGACCTAGTGCGTTGGTGGTTGTGGAGTGAGGAGAGGAGTGTCGCGGCGCACGAGGTGGGTTTTTATGCAGGGTCTGGAGGGCGGAGTGATAGCAAGAGCGCGTTGTGTTGGGTGGACAGCGCTGGCGATGTGAAGACGGAAGTCCGTGAAAACACACACAACACACTGCGCACAGCCGCGCCAGATGCCGCTGCGACACACTGGCGCTTCGCGGCAAGTGTAGGAAAAGCTGCGAGGACACAGAAATCACAGCGCTGGTCCCATATCAATTTCTTCTAGAGCCAGGTGCGCGCGCGGCACAATGGAGCTGATGAAGCATTGCGACGGGCCACGGCGGTGCGTAGTGTAGCAACGCAGTCTGTATCCGCGCATGAGCCGACGCTAGGCAAGACGCGTCTCAACACGCGCAGGGGTCCCCGGACGCGTTGCCGATCGCGCCAACGCGCCGCCGTCAAGCTTCTGCGGCTTGGGTAGCCGCCATGTGAGGTCGGGCGGGGCCAGCACAGCTCCCCGTACCTTTTTGCGGAGAAGCACACTGCCGGCCGCCGGTTGAGCGTGCTGCCCAAGCCGCCATCACAGCGTCGTGTGTCCAGAGCCGCGCAGCTACGGACCCCGCTTCTGGCCACTTCCGCACTTACGCCGCCGAATACGTACTCTGCGCTCATGCAGACACTGAGCCGTCCCGTGGTACGGATACTGAGATGCAAATCGCTGGCGAGATCGCCAGGAGTATGAGCAAACAACTGCTGGGAGAGAGGCTGATCACACGCTATTCGCCGGATTCGCAAACGCATGGTCATACTCAAAGCATTCGGTGCAGGCACGGGTCCCGAGCACGGCCCCGTGATGCGATGCGGCGTCAGCATGGGCGCCGAGGGGCTGGTGGGTCTGGGCGGTGAATCGTCCCTGGGCTGCGCGTACCGCTCCCTGCCGATGCCACGCTGCCACAACTCTCCACCATAAAGCTGTCCTCAATTGCGCCACGCCCAGTCTGCTGCACACCCAGTACCCATTGCGCCGACTTTGAGACCCCACCCCCATTCCTGCCCCGCCGTCTCGCCATGAGTCTCCAGGTCCCTTTCCGAGGCAAGGCGTCCGGCCAAGCGCCCTCCACCAAGGCCGTCATTCTGGTATGCTTTCTCGCTCCGCGCCGGACCAATTGTTGCTAACAGCTCGTAGGTCGGCGGTCCCTCCAGAGGCACACGCTTTCGGCCGCTGTCGCTTGACGTTCCCAAGGTAGTCCCAAAACGTCCGCTTCGCCGCTCAGGTCCCGTAAAGCTGACTAGCGCAGCCGCTTTTCGACGTTGCCGGACACCCCATCATAGAGCATTGCTTCCGCGCTGTCACAAAGGTCCCCGAGATCAAGGAGGTCTTCATTGTCGGCTACTACGACGAGTCGGTTTTCCGCGACTTCATCAAGGAAGCCGCCAACGACTTCCCCCACATCAAGCTCCAATACCTGCGAGAATACCAGGCCCTGGGCACCGCCGGTGGCTTGTACCACTTCCGCGATGCCATCCTCAAGGGCCACCCGGAGCGCTTCTTCGTCATCAATGCCGATGTCTGCTGCTCTTTCCCGCTGAACGAGATGCTGAAGCTTTCCGAGGAGAAGGACGCCGAGGCTGTCATCTTGGGCACCAGGGTTAGCAACGAGGCTGCCACCAACTTCGGTTGCATTGTCTCGGATGCCCACACCAAGCGTGTGCTGCACTACGTCGAGAAGCCCGAGTCACACATCTCCAACCTGATCAACTGCGGTGTCTATCTTTTCTCCACCCAAGCCATCTTCCCTTCGATCCGCTCCGCCATCAAGCGCCGCACCGAACGCCCCCGCCTCCTCTCATACCCCTCCTCCGAGAACCTCGACTCCTCATTCATGCAGGCCGACGAAGAAGACGATGGAGAGACTCAGGTGATCAGACTGGAGCAGGACATTTTGTCGGATCTGGCAGACACCAGGTCGTTCTTCGTCCTGGAAACAAAGGACTTCTGGCGCCAGATCAAGACGGCCGGCTCCGCTGTTCCCGCCAACGCTCTCTACCTTCAGAAGGCATGGCAGTCTGGTACGGACGAGCTCGCGCAACCCTCTGCTAACATCATTCCTCCCGTCTACATTCACCCCACCGCTCACGTCGACCCCACTGCCAAGCTTGGTCCCAATGTCTCCATCGGTGCTCGCGCGCACATTGGCGCTGGCGTTCGTATCAAGGAGGCGATCGTTTTGGATGATGCATCCATCAAGCACGACGCATGTGTGCTCTACACCATTGTCGGCTGGAGTAGCAAGATTGGGGCATGGGCTCGCGTTGAGGGCACTCCTCTGCCTGCCACCACGCACAGCACTAGCATCGTCAAGAATGGTGTCAAGGTTCAGAGCATCACCATCCTTAGCAAGGAGTGCGCCGTTGGAGATGAGGTTAGGGTGCAGAACTGCGTCTGTCTGCCGAACAAGGAACTCAAGAAGGTATGCGAACAACAGCACAGCTGACCTTCCTCCGTGATACTGACCCATTTTTCTAGGATGTTGCAAACGAGGTCATCATGTAGAGAGTTGAAGGGTATAACATCACGGTCGGACGTATCAAAGAAAACGCAGTACACAGTTACGATACCATAGCAGACGAGCAACAACTTGGCTACGGCCATGGAGCTCTTATAGAGCTCAAAATTAATTTTTCGGCAACTTACATGATGCCTTGAACGTTCGCCTCGGCCATATGTCTCTCACAACAGCTTTTAAGGGGTAGATGTTCGAATTTGATCTGGATGAGTGCGCACGAATGGACGATTGGGGGGTTCAAAAAAAAAAAAAAAGGCAAGGAAAGGATGATAGGAGATAAGCCCCATAAGATCTTCACGAGCTGCCGATCAATTCCAGGACTCCCGTCCGGACTTTCTATCTTATCTCCAGTTTCGAGCATGCTTTACCCCACCACACTAAGTACCAGCCCGTCTACCTACCCCGCCACAACCCGGCACCGGCCGATCCACTTCTCCCTTCCCATTCATACCACATCACGCCCTCCACCCATTCCACTCCCCTTCCTCCCTCCCACCTCCTCTCATCACTCAACCAGCCACCATGACCACAACCGCACCCACACCAACCCTCCCAATCATCGACATCTCGCCCTTCCTCCCCCACACCACCGCCGCCACCACCACCAACAACCGCCGCCGCGCCGCCACCGCCCACTCCCTCGCCCGCGCCTGCCGCGACACCGGCTTCTTCTACCTCACCAACCACGGCATCCCGCCCCACACGCTCTCCTCCATCCTCGACCTCGCGCGCCACTTCTTCCTCGAGGCCACACCCGCGGAAAAAGCGTCGCTGCGCCGCCGCGACGCCGGCGACCCCGCAGGTGGCGGCGGCGACGGCGCCCGTGGCTACCAGCGCGTCGGCGAGAACGTGACGAAGGGCCGGAGGGACTGGCATGAGGCGGTGGATTTGTATGCGGAGTGGGAAGGAAGTGGGGGAAACCGAGGAGGTGGTGGAAGTGGGGGCCCGCCGTACGGCGTGTTGGAGGGGCCGAATTTGTGGCCCCGGACGCCGGAGGGGTTGCGGGAGGCGTGCGAGGCGTATGTGGAGGAGGTGAAGGGGGTGGGGACGGCGGTGGTGAGGGCGATGGGGGAGGCGTTGGGGTTGGAGGAGGCGGGGGAGGCGGATGTGTTTGTCGAGGCGACGAGGAGGAGCTTTTGGGTTATGCGGTTGATTGGGTATCCGGAGCTGGGGCGG